TGCAGGGGGTAAAGAGTGCACAGTGACTGAAGTATGAAAGCAAGGATGAAGAAAAAGAAAAAACCTCAACCAATTATTGCTACAATGAGAGGATATCAACATTTCTAAGCTTCATATTGACACTCATTCTAATTCCATAATCTGCACTGCAAAGGGTTTAATCTGGCTCATTCAACATGATGCCTGTGGAAGAACTGAAACTCACCCTGACTCACAGATTACAAAGCCTGTTTGATGCTCAGCAAGCAACACTGTACATAAAAATAGGGAGGCAAAAGCAACATTTTTACACAAGTTCTGTGCTATTAATTCCTTCAGCTTGATGCTGAGAGGTTGTGGAGTCTCCCTCATTTGAGATAATCTTTTGAGAACTGTCTGGATACAATGCCATGTGCTCTGGAACAACCCTGCTTGAGTAGAGAGGTTGGACCACATGATCCACTGCAGTCCCTTCCAAGGTGACTGATTCTGTGATTCTGTGACTTGGGCATGTCCCCACACCTGCTGCCTATTCACCAATGATATTTCTACGCATCTCTTTGATTTTGAACATGATGCTACAGTGTGAGTAACAAGGAGCAGAGAATTTTATTAAATAAGTATATTTTGAGTGATGACTCTGTTTAGAGAGTCATGAATGAGAGTATTAGGTTGCTTAAGGAATCACTGGCAAAGGTATTGGTAAAGAAGGTTTAATATAGAAGTGAAAGCGTAAAAAAGTTTGTTGACAAAGTTCACTCTATTACTAATTGAATAGTTAGAGCACACAGGAAAATCAGACTAAAATCTGAATCAATCAGTCTAAAAACAAAATCAATTTAAAATTACATATATAGAAGCTTGGGATGGGGAAAGGGTAAGGATGGCAAAGGGTAAGGATCGTAAGAAATAAGGGAGACTCCCCTATTGAATCACAGGATTCAGAGTGAATGTCTTTGCCAAACTGAGCCTTGGACTTGATTAAGATGTTAACATCACTTAAACTTAACAGCACTCAATCAATAGCCTGACTTAAATAATTTGTCAGAAGATTCTATAGAATTTACTGCAAGCACAACAGTAACTCACTTATAGGTTTAACTTAAAAATCTGAAGCACCTAAGCATCTAAGAGGGCAATATTTACAGCACATTTGCTATAACATATTCACACCTGTATGCACGCAGACCCAGAGGAGTATGTACAAGGCATATACCTGTGAAAAATTGCCCTCAAGCTCAGAGAAGTACTCACATGGGATGCCTTTGTACCTCCCCAGTGGGTGAAGGGTTGAGCTCTGAGGATGGGGTCAGTGTTTGCTGCGACCCCCAAGTATCCTTCACTCAGGGAGGGGGCTCCAAAAGGTGCCCACTCCCTGAGAGATTTCTGGTCACACCCCGCAGTGGCCCAGGGGAATTCAAAGGGTCTCACTTGGCACCACTATTTTGAGGACTGCAAGAAAATTGGCTTTACCCACAGTAATTTCCCACATCAAGGCAAAGGCCTAATGAGCATTTCTGAAGTCAGTGCAGCTCGAAGAGACAGCAGGAGAGATGCACCACCACAAAGAGACAGGTTAAATTCTGAAACTCAAAAAGGATGGGAAAACAGGAGAGGCCTACCCCCTCTCTAAGAAACTTTGAAAATAGATTTAATGGAAAAGAAGGATTGGCAGTTACTCAAATCTGCAGGCAAAACATTGGAAATATCAGAAATGGAAAACTCTATGGGAATAAGATACTTAACCAAAATAGCATCCCAGCCCTTAAGGACGGAGAGGAAAATGGTGGGGGTCCCCACAAAGCAAAAAGAGAAAGGTGTGAACAGCTTACAGAGAATAGAGACTGCAAACAACTTTTTCTTATATCTTCATTTTCTTCCATGTTCAGCTATTAAAGCCTGACAATGAGTTCTTACTGTATGTTTTCTGCTGGCTAGCAGAATCAACCCAGTGGCAATTGTGCCTGCTGCTATGATTCATGGGGTTATAGATAGTCATATCTTCTAACACTTTGTATTTCACTGTAGTAAAGGACAGAAAAACCTGATATCAGCAGAAGAACATTAAAAAGAAGCATGTAACCAAAACATGCTGCATATGGAAATTTACATTACACTATAAAAAATTGAAAAGCAGAAATGTGCAATATATACTACTGAGTGATACTCATCATAAAATTATTTTTCAGAAGTAGAAATGAGACCACAGATAACTATAGTTTTGTTTGCTGTTACTATGAACATACACCAGTCACTTGCACTGGAGCTGAAGGAAAACTATTAGATCATGGTTCACACCCTACAGATGGGATAAGCCATCTTCCTCATGAACTTCACAGATATTAAAAAGATGATATCATCTGACATCCATCCCCAAAAGCTACCAATTACACAAAACACACCCTGAACTGACTTTAGGGTATCTGTTGGAAAAAATGGGGGGGAAAAAAAGGCATTTCACTGGAAATGCTGCATGGAAAGAGATGGTTGTGTTTCCATCTGCTTATAGTAGCTCTAGCAAAGAACTTTTCTACATAGAATAATTGCACATATTAAAATAATCCTGAAATACCACTTTGTTTTTATTCTCCATTTAGAATAAACTATATCTAAAGTCAGACCTTTGCATGTTCTGTGAACAATTTCTCAAAAAAATATTATAAAGATGAGACAAAGAATTCCCTCTCATGGCAAAGCAGTTAAGCCTGCTTGGTACTTGTAAATACAACAGAAATAGAAAAAGTTTTAAAGTTCACCTTTAAGGAGAAAGTTCATACAGACTGATTGTTTTGAATTTTCTCTGTGATCTGACCACGCTAATTTCTCACTAATAAATCAAATGTGACAGCTACAAACCTTTCAAGAAAAGCTAAAGTTTCTCTGAATTTTTTCATTGTGTGTTAAAAGCACAAGATGATCTATGAAAAAGGCTAAGCTGATCTCAGAAGATCCCAAGATTGCTGTCTCCCAAAATTCACAGCTTCACAGACAGAATGGCTTGGGTTGGAAGGGACATAGTGATCATCCAGTTCCAACCCCCTGCCATGAGCAGAGACACCTTCAGCTAAATCAGGCTGCTCACAGCCCCATCCAGCCTAGCCTTGAACACTGCCAAGGACAGGGCATCCACAGCTTCTCTGGGGGACCTGTTCCTGTGTCTCACCATCTTCATAGTAAAAAGATTCTTTCTCATATCTGACCTACACTTTTTCAGTTTGAAGCCATTCCCCCTTGTTCTATCACCACGTGCCCTTACAAGAAGTCCCTCTCCAGCAATCCTGTACCTTCAGGTACTAGGAGGCAGTGGTAGTACCCTCTCTCTCTAAAATTGTTCCTATTATATCCAAAAACTGTTTTCCTCCGCTCCCTACACCCTCCAGGATTTCATAATGGAAAAAAAAATAGAAGGGGAATTCTATGACTTACCAGTCCCATCACTCCCAGCCATGCAAGTCAGTGGCCAGACAAGTTTTGGTTTTTTTTTATTTAGCATGTTGCCATTGGTAGTACAAATTTGATCTGTAAAATTGCAGTAGTCCCCAGTACTTCAATATTGATTATTATTTTAGAACTTTAACTAGCCCAAGACACGGAGAAAAGAAAAGGCATTAGGAAACTTTGTGAACTTTAGGAACTTTAAGAAGGATCAAAACCTTCCCATAAGTGCTAGAACAAGTATGACCAGAAGAACAAGTATGACCAGAAGACAAAGAAAAATAATGACTGGGTAAAGCTCACATTTTGACGTAGAAAAAAGTTACTGCTTTTCACAGATATTCTGGCACTAAGGTGAGATCAGAATTACCTTATACTAATACAACCATGACAAACACTAAGACCTTCACTGACCAGCACAGCTACAGACATAGACAGCATCAAACCCAGCTGACTTAGCTTTTCAGTCAGAGCTGGATGACTATCCTTAGATCCACATCCTTCCTACATAAGGTGAAAAGGAATTGAGGGGAAGCAGAGGAAATCATGGGACTTGCCCTGAACAGGAAACTCATGGCTTGGGTCAGAAGTTATCTGGGGCCTCAGCTGCCACTGCTGTCCCACAATACACAAAATTAAGTCTCTATTTTCCTAAGCATGTCCTTGCCCTCATTCTGGCTCTTTGGGGATGAGTCTCTTGCCCTTCATATACTGGATTGCCAGTGGTGCTTTGGTCAGAGAGAGTGCCTTATTGATTCCACACTTAATCTGCTACTGGCTCCAAGGAATTTCTTCCTTAGCTTGTTTTTTAAAATTTCTTTACTGTAGGATGACATAATTTGAGCCAGGAATGGAAATCAGCCTACATGTATATAAAGCCTGAGCACAAGGAAGCAATTACAATGCCTTTTGTAATGGGTCTGGGGACTCGCCATGTTTCAGACATGAGAAGTGTCTTTCTCAGCCCTTGCAGGCTGCAACAGCTGGTGCACTTGAAGAGAGAGGCTTAGGTACATCAGTGGCCTTAACTCCCCACAATAACAGGATCACCTGGCTGGCAATCACAACTGGAGAGGGTCCAGAACACTTGCTGTCCCAAAGCACTGTCAGTTAAAACTGCTCCTCCATAGAAAAACACTCCACAGGTGCACTACCAATCAAGTCCAATGCCTGACTCAATAAAAACTTTCCCTCTGTTCTTGTGGAACTGCCTGCATTTCAATGTGTCCCCACAGACTCTTTTTCTCTGCCACTGGGCCCCACTGAGCATGGCTGGCTTCACCTTCTCCACTCCCCCACCAGGTAGTTAAAGACATGGATAGGATGCCCAAGCCAGTAACAAGACTGGTCCTTGCTCCCTTGAGCTGAAATGACTGTAGACCCAGCAGCTCAGACAGATTTTGAGATATCTGGCTTTCAAGACAGTCCCATAACTTCAGTCACCATCAACTTTCCAGAGTTGCTAGCTTGTCTCTGAATGAAGAGTAGGATATACCCCGCGAACTTCACAAGTAAACCAGTGGTGAAATAAGATAGTTTGTATTACTGACACAGAACACATTATAAAATTACTTGATACAAGAACAGAAGACACCCATAATTTTATTGCCTTGTCAGATGTAAAAATTTATTTATGCTATTTGTCAAGTGTTTAAATTTACACAAAAGACAAACACTTTAACTTCAGGTCCAATTGTTCATCAGTAAGCCCTACATCAGAATAACCTTGATATTTTCAAGGAAAATTTTTACAAGACGCTTAGAACAGCAGAATATCATAAATAATGGCTAACTTCACAAGCCTGAGGATCACTACCTCATCACTATTTCTCTGCCGAGCATGAGAATAGAGGAAGCCTTAAAGCCATTTTAATCCCCAAACACTATCACTACTGCACTCAGAGCATTTACATCACTGCCCTGCAATAATAACACCAAACATTACATTTAGTTGTAAAGATTTATCACAGCTTCCCCTAACAAAATTACTTTTCTTTTGAACATAACAAGAGAACTGTGCATCAGAACAACTGCAAAATACACAATCACCCATTTGGCTTGGTTTTACAATAAAAATAGTATCAGTCATCTATTTGTTAACTTCAGCTCTTGTGTCATACTCCTTACCCCTTCATTTCTCACTTAGGAAATTACACTAGACCAGGCAGTTTAATTGTAGCACTGAGGTAGCATATTTTAGTTGAACAGAGTAATCCGTTTGATATTGTGCCTCTTCTCCTTTAAAGCACAAAAAAACATCCCCACAGTTTTTCAACATCTTTGGAGAAGACAGGTGTATAGTTAATTTCCAACAGCCATTCTATTTTGAATTCAAAGCACAAAGCATCCATGAATGGTAGATACATTATACCAGCTCAAATGAATGAGAACATATACAAGAAGAAGGAAATATGTCAGTTTTATTAGAACTAGGGTTACATTTTAGCCCTATGGCACCTATTGTTCCCTATTATGAAATGCATCTTTACCATCCCTGAAATTTAATTTCAAAGACAAGGATCCTGAAAAAGAGCAGCTGTGCCACTGTTCTAAATTATTTTTACACTATTGGCACAGCCAAATAATTGCAACAAAACCAGATTAAATCAACAGACCTAATATAAAGTCAACAGGAATTAACAACATGAGTATACTGAAAGAATCAAAGTTAAGGCAGAAGGTATGACTTAATGAACTGAGAGCACTTTCCATTCACTTAGAACTTAAAGCTGAGATAGCCTTAAAAATAATTAAAGAAAAACCAACACCAAAAAACAAACAAACGCAACCCAAAACCAACCAACCAACCAATAAAACAAACACCCAAAACAACAAAAAATAACAATCAAAACAAAACAAAAAAATGCACCACTGCAAGAGTAGAAGCCTCATTTCCTAACAAATTGAGAGTAACAGTGTCTCAGCTTTGCCCTTCTGGCTAAAAGCTTTAAAAGACTAAGCTGAAGTCAAGCTGTACTGAAGACTGCAGCCTTAACTTCTAGACTGTTTATTAAAGTAACTCTTACAGACACACCTGTGTATTTAGAAAGAATAATAAACAGTGATCCTAAAGAACAGGAGTAATTTCCTGCTCTGTGTGCCATGCTTGTACACAAAGCCTTGTAAAACTCTGCTGAATGCTACACAATCCCCACCCAGCCCCAGGCTGGATCTTTGAATTCCTCCCTCCATCTTTCCCATAGAAAAGCAAAAATTTTTACTGCAGCTAAAAATCCCTTGAGTCAGCCTCATACATAGGGGAAATTGGGTTTTAACACATTGGAAAGCAGACTGAGAATGTAACTGAGCTGAGATAAACTCCCGTGGAAACACCTAAACAGCTGAGGGAAAAATGCTTAAGTTATAATGACCAATTCAAGCTGTTTATGAAGACATTGATTTTAATCTTTCAAGTAATCCAAAATGCACTCCAACACCTGTTACTAAAAACTTAAGGCTTTTATGAATACCCTCTTACATACAAAAGGAGTATTAAACAGAAGGAACTTGTTTACAGTAAATACAAACATCTGAAAAATCTCTGAAACCTGTTTATACAAATACTAATAAATTCTTTAATATTTTGTACAACTAGAAGGTGCACAGATTGGCATTCAAGCAGTCAATGCTGGCAAACATCTGTCAGACAATAACATGATTTACTTGGATAACAATATAGTTTAAAATGCCATAAATTAAAAAATAAGTTAGTTCACATTTTTTCCCCAGATTTTATGTACATCTTAGTCTTTAATGAGATCGTGCAGCCTTCTTCAGAAGCTCAAGGTCTTTCTGACGCCTTTTAATTGCTCTGGCACAGCCATACTCTTCCAGTTGCAGAGGGATATACTTTTCTATCTGAACGAGCCCATGCCCAGCAGGACTGGTAAACAGCTTAATCCAGGATGGCTTAATGTTTCCTCTGAAGCCCAGAAAGGCCAAGCTTCCTGTGACAGAAAAAGGTCAGCGTTAGCAAACCGGCCAAGCTCACTGCAGCATCATACAGGACTGGTTAGGCAGGAAAAGGCATGCACCCCCAAAATTCCTTCCCCCACATTATTCAGGGCATTCATCCACTCTCAGTTTTATATGCACCTTACAAGGAAATAATGATTTGCAATTTCCTGCCTCAATACTTAGTATTAAATACCCTGAAATCTTAATTTAAAAACACAGCTAATTGGATAGTTATAAAACCTGTTTTCTCAACCACAACTTGTGACATCACCCTGAACAGATCACAGCTACCCCATGTGGCCTATAAACTCATCATTCCTCAAAATACCAATAGCTTCTCATTTATAGCTTCAAGCTGTTATAGAACAGGAAATACTAGGCAGGCACAGGAGATTGCTTAAAGATACATTTGCTGGGTGAGGCACAAAATACAGGCTTCAGAAATAAAGCCTGGGACTCTTGTGTGATCCATAGGCACAAAGAACTGCTAGTTACTTCTCTGTTTGCAACAAGCTTCACGCAATAGGATAAAGAGCTTTTCAGCCCCATCTGCTAGAGGGCTACCCATCTCCCTTCTCAACAAGAGCTGACACACAGCAGCCACACCAGCACAAACTGGCAACCACCCGCCACCAGCTGCACCCTTCTCAAACACCCCGTAAGAAACCCACCACGCCAACACAAGCACAAAGACCAAGGTGGTGACAAAGAAATATGCAACATTTCCACCAACCTTTGCTCTGAAGATAAGGTGGTTTCGCTGTCCCCAGGGACATTAAGGCTTCAGCTAAACTATTAGGAATTGCTACATCACCTCTTGTGCTCAGCAGAATGATAGACCTGCAACAGGAATAGCATGACACAACAGCTATTATAAACATATTTTTTTAATATTCTGCTACACACCTTTCCAGCTAGCTGCCCTCAGTGTCCAATTCCTCATGAATACTTATCACATGGAAATAGTCAACCCTTTCTGAAAGCAGGACTTAGAATTTCTTGATTTTAAAGTAACTTTAAATTTAACTTCAAGATTATTGGAAAGTGTTATTTAAATACAGTATAGTATTTGTATCAGAAAAATCAAGTTTGGATACCGATCCAAAATTAGAGAATTAAAATCCTGATTATTTTCTGACACTAACGATCTTTATTTAGTGATAAATAATTTTCTGGAGAACAGTATGACATCTTTCACATAGCTCTTGCCACTGTCCTTATTAAACAAAAGATTATTCTTGTTTTAAGCAAAGCAGTTTCATTACATGATGTTTTGTTAAAGAAAATTATTTTTGAGGAAAAAGGCAACACCAGAAAAAATTTAAGCCCTCAAAATCTGCTTAGTTTTATTAAAGGAGACTACACTGTCCAATAAATTGCTCCTCCGTTTCTCCTTTTGCCTGAACTTAGACATATGTTTTGTTCACTTTCAGTGCTCAGGTATCATTATCTATTCATCATTATTTAAATCCTTGTCACAGAGCAGAGCTACAGCTTGCAGGACATACTGGAAATGATTGATCATTGCACATACCTTTGTGGAATTCCAGATTTTAAATATCCATCTACACGCCTAATGTCTACTCCAGAAAATAATTTGTTTCCCACCACTGTGCCAGTGCAGGCATCTACTACAACAATAAGTATTCCATTATCCTTGAAGGAAAACATGGTATCATTGACCTGAATTGCAAGAAAAAGAGAGAGAAAAATAAGTTAATATGAATCAAACAGCAATTCTACTGCGCTCAATGTTAATCAATCTTACTCTAGTTTAGACACAGTAATTTCCTTACTAATACTTGCTTCTCCCTAGAAACTTTTCAGTATATCCTTTGAAAGGACACTGCTTAATGTGACTTATGAAACTGCATGGGCGTCTTAAGCCTGTAGCTTCCACAGGAATATTGCACATTCCAGGTGACTTACTACCTACCTCAGTGATTGCTCCTGCTTTGGGAAGCTAAAATTCAGATACTAAATCCCCTGAACATCTTTACAGTAATACATTGATTATTAATTGAAATTGATCCCTGCAGCAGGTTAGTTCCAGCCCAGTTTCTTCCTCCTGCTTTGCATATGGCACACACGTTCCTGGAGAAGTTTGCTCATGTGCCATTTGTCTACCTGAATAACTGAAGGTTCAGCCAGGCCAACAATGACAGCAGAATTAAAGGCATGTGCAGACTAAGTGGTATTTCACCTTCACATGCAAGTCTACTTCAGCATCTGGATGGAAAATTCAAACTAAACTACTTGTTATACAGAACCAGATGACTGGGCTTATTTGGGCCATATCAGAACAAATACAGAAATCTACTGATTCTTTAGCAATTGCCATGTAGAGGACTTCCACAAAGCTTAATGGTTCATGTGACCCATTTCACTAACTTACTAATGTGCTTGCAAATGAGGACAATTTCAACAAAATGGATTTAACTAACAAATTATTAATTTATGTGTTCTGTTTATTTCCAAAACCAGCCATAAATGTATACCCACACAGATGTAAACATAAGCTGAACATTTTAAACTCTAATGGGAACATTTTTCTCTTCAGCAAATATGCAGCTTTGAAGCCTCACTTTCTAATGTTTAAATAGAAGCTTTTTGACTCTAGTTTTTAAAAAATGAACCTATCTTTTCATTCCAGTGAAGAAAACTGAGATCTAAATTATGTAGAGCTGTACAACTTCTATAATACAAACTGCTATAGTGATATTTAAGAAGAAAACCATAAAGAATACTTACATATATAAATGCTTTCTGAATTCTGCTTGATTCTTTTTCATCAGATGAATTAATCTGCACAAGGAGGTAGTTTCTGTGAGGGTCACTGGTGAATACCGTCTGGATATCAAACAAAACAGTTAAGTACACATATTACTGTTTCTTCAACACTTTATCAGTTTACAACAGACAGCCCATGCTCCAAAGCAAATATATCCATTTGTCAGTGGCATTATTTATGGTACTACTAATCTTAATAAATAGAATGATAAATAGTGTAACCTATTTTATCTCTTAATTTCAATATTTTTCTCAGCTTGTATAGCTGAGACAATTTCAAGTTCATGCTAATAAGTAAAGATCCAAACAGAGAGAAGGTTTGCCATGTAGATCTCTGCAGCAAAGCTCTCCATGTAGCAGAGACAACACCGCAGTGCAAGCCATCAATCCACCTATGTCCCTTTTCTGTAGCACTTGGAGCAAGAGTTGAACAAAAGAAGGGAAAAAACCCTGAAACCTTTGTGCTACAGAAAGGAGGACTCCAAACCTTCAAGGAGTCCAAGAAGATTAACAAACTGACCACTGTAACTTGATAAGTGCAGTATTCTGTGCTGGAAGATTGAAATTTGGACTTAAATTGAGCAGACAGCATCACCAATTCTACAGTTCATGAAAGTTTTAGCTTATTTTATTTTACCTGAGTTGTGCCACATTTTGTACATGGTACAGTAGTTTTCTCTGGCATCTGCTTTATCACGGTTGGTACTTGGTAGTACTTTGGATAAGCTTTTGTCATGCAATTACTTATCCCTTTTGATGAATCTTTGGTCACAATCTTGATCCTTTCACATCCCTGAGATGAGCAATAACTGTGACCATCCCTATTATATTTGGCTTGAAGAAATAAAAACAGTAATCTACACAAAAAGGGGAAAAAATAATCTAAATTAACTTGTGAAATATAGGTACTTATATTTAACCTTAGCAGCTATATTTCATGATTTTCAGAAGCAGACAAACTACAGTATTCACTTCCGAACCACTGTCCAAAGGTTTCAAGGTATTTACAGTTCACTAGAGTTAGGAAATCCCTAGCAACTTATCTAAAATTCCCCACAGTTAAAGGAGACATCAATATAAATGTAGATGCTTTGCAAAGAAAAATCAGTCCTCATATCAGCAGCTTACAGAAAACAAAAACCAAATTGCAGAGCATGAATTTTTTCCTTGTTCATAGATCTTTGCAGACATGCAGCAGAAATATTCAGTTTCACCCATCAACATTGAACAATATAGTTGTGCTACTTCAAATGCCTGAAAGGCAATTTAGGGTGTAAATCTCTTATACAAAGCAACATAAATGTCTGTTCAAAAACTACATTCATTTGTGTATTTATTACAGACAGGCACAGTAGCAGGTAACAGAACAAAATAAGTAAGAGCAAAAATTATAAATTTAGAATCAATGTTTGCAAAACTCACAACTGATGTACACAGGACTTAATTTATTGGAAGCTGATGATATCTAAAACCTCTCAGAAGGATCTTAGTGGCCTCTGTGAGAAGTACTTTTGAAAGTACTTTTGAAAGAGAGATTAGGACTTTTAAGTTCTTTTGAGACAGCTGAAAACAGATGAAGATTTTCAAAAAATGTAATTTTTAAATGTTGGAAGAGAAAGTTTCTTGGAAATTTATAGAATTTTATGCTTAACAAGAAAACAGGTGCTTTCTCTAAAGACTAAGAAATTAAATCCTAAAAGGCACTGCTCTGCAGCACACCAGATACTATATTTTTCCCAGACATGGGCTAGGAAATATCTTTGGCCACTGTGGTGCTCACAGAAAGTATTTCAATGGCAACTATAGTAGTTTGGAGATTTAAAGACATATGAACATTATTCCAAAGAGTTTGAGTCCTTCTCAACAGCTTTCCCCTTATGCAGGTGCCTCAACCAGTTGCTTTTAACACTTTCAAACTGTGCATTTCAAAGTTAAACAACATCTTCTAGTAGAGTCAAATGACAAGAGTTACCCAGTACTGTTGTCAAAGTAAAACCTCTTGTCTGATCGATTTCTTTCAAGCTCCACCATTGAAGATACAGGCATGTAGCGCTCCACCTTGCTTGACAGAGCAGAGGACCGCCTTTGAAAGGTTTCCAACACTATAAGAAAATCTGTCTTTGGTTGGTAACAAAGACCAACACGAATCCAGTCATTCCTAAACCAAAATGAAATGTATGAGTCCTTGTAGGAACGGTTTAAGTGTCAATATAGAGCAAAGAGATCACTCCAAAAATACAAGAAACAGGAACACAAAAAGCTCCTAAACCCTCAACCAGATGATCAAATCTGCACAGCCTTTCATTAAACATTTTAGTAACTGATTCTCGCAGGATATATTTGGTTATATATTTCAGAGATATTTAATAAGTTCATCTGCCAACAAAATCAAGTATGATAAGCTATTCAACTGCAATTCTGCTCGACTTGACTATTGCTACATCATCCTCTCCAAAGGTTCTTCCTTAAAGACCCTGTATTGGACAAGTGTTTAACATCGGGGAGATCCTGTATTTGTAACTATGAAAAAAAAACCCAAAACTCAAGCTCTGGTCTTCCAGATGGTTGCAAACTCATGCACAATCATTTTGCAGGACATAACTTCAGCCTTATGGATCAAAGCCACAAAAGAAAATAAACATACTTGTTGAAGTTAATGAGATACAGATAGGTGACATTTGGAGCTTTTCCATTCCAATGTATTGTATAGCCCTTTTGGAGCATCACCACTGGCTGGTACTGCTGAAAGGCAGCTGCTCTCTGATTAATACCTCGAAGAACCATGGGATTGGCTGGATACTCATCTCGGACAATAGTCATGGAAAGATTCTGTCCATTCCAGGTTTGGACATAAACCTATATGATATTTAAGAGGGTGAAAATAGGAAAATTTGGTCTCTTTGCAAAAGAAAATGAAATTTTGAAGCATGATCAGGATATTATTAACCAAAATGCTGCAATCTGATGTTCTGAGTTATGTAATACACAAATCTCTCCTGAATAAAAGTCCTCTTTAAAAACTATTATAGATTTTTCCATTCTTGCAGACAAAAAAGTGTATGGAGGAGAAAAAAAAATCAGCTATAACACCTGGCCACACAGAGCAGGAATCAGAATGGGAATCAAACCCGTAAGACTTGTATTCAGAAGGTGATATTTAACATATCCAGAAAACAAACCAACAAAATAACGTCTTAAAATCCACTCTGTGAAAAAAAGCAGAAAGAACTTGTGTGGAAGAAGACACCTTCAACACAAAAATGTTTTAGCAGATACAGCTGCAACATAGAATCCTTGACAAACACATTTAGTTTTATCTTGCAGCATCTGATACTGTACCCTCAGTCTGCTGAGAGGAAGCATGATGCACTGACAACTGGTTCAAAGGTGTGATATGTATACAAGTATTTTTAAAAGTCAAAAAATTTTGAAATCCAAAGACAGGTAATCTTTTATTTCTTACACTACCTGACTCCAAAAGTAGTTAATATTATAGATTTGCCCCAAACAGAAAGCCAAAAGTACTAGCCTGTGCATAGCTTCCACTGCAAACCACTCCATTCCATTCTGTGATGTTAATGCATTTGGGGTGTTGAATCAAGTAATTATCCATTCGGCCCACATAGGTATCTGTGTAGTCAGTCACTGAGCCATCTAGATCATGAAATATTGAGTTCTTGTCACCATCCAGATCTCCTTCTTCAAACCACGGACCAGGCTTCCCAAAGAAGGCTTTCAAAGAAACCTGACAACAACAATAGAAGTTTTTGTTTTTCCTGAGGTGAAACACAGACTAACATCTCCACATATGCAGAAACACAGGAATTTGACAAAGCTGATTAAAAACTTTACAGCAAGGATAGCAGAATCTTGCAAAGCAGATATTCTGGGTTTTACTAATAGGCTCAGGCCAGTCCTTGCTTCTGAATAGTGTTAATGTTTGCTGCAGAAAATTCGTTACTAAGGATATACCAAACCTTACAAAAATTTCTTTTCAGCTTTACCACAAGCTGTGAATCATTTAGTGTAACATATCCTACATCTCTGTTGGTATTGGATTTTTTGGTCAGGAGACAAAGGTGTGTGCCCTCCAGCTAGGAGATAAACTCTGAAGTAGGTATGTGTAGAAAGGATGACCTACAGCTCTTGTTTGTGTATGTTAAATACAAGAAAAGAAAACCATTTGCAGACTTCAAGAAAGCTTGTAGTAAACTTACGTTTGGACCAAACTTCACAAGAGAAATGTTATTTTTTGGAGTCATCTGCCACGGATTTTTCATCAAGAACCCAACTGCACTGGTATATCTGTCTGGAGTTGGCACGAAGTTTTTAAATGTGCACTTGGTAAGGTGAATAGGTCCATCATAAATCTGAAAGCCTCTGATTGGAAATGTCCTGTTGATGCAAGCAAATATTTATACCATCCTGTAACAAAATTCATGGTACACTTGAATCTGTGTCAAATACATCTCTTCTCAGAAATCAATAAACAACAATTACAGAATGACTCACAAGATAGAATTTAGCAAAAGAAATGCAGTTTCAGCGCTTCTCTAATGAGTCAAAAAATCCCCTACTCCTATATTTTCCTGTTAGCGGAGCTACACTCTGCACGTGCAAATGTGCCACTTTTTCAATATGAGAAATACAGCAGGGAAGTAATACCACCTGCTCTTTGATTGATCATGGCAACTGAAAGTGACTGCAGACTGGAGGAAAGCAAATGTCACTTCTAACTTGAGGAAGGAGCACACAAAGAATGGTAGATTTAGCTGGTAAGGCTTAGCTTTACCCTCAGGAAGATGATAGAGCAGCTAATCCTAGAAACCACTTCCATGTGCCAGGAGGACTGCAAAGTCATCAGGAATAATCAGCATGAATTCACCAAGGAGAATCTGATAAACTTCTGTGATTAAATGACTGCCTGGTAGAGCTGTGGGAGAGCAGAGGACAGGGTCTACCCAAACTGTAGTAAGACTTTTGACACTGTCCCATAAGATCCTCATGAAGATCCTCATGGATGAGAGGATAAATGGCTGGGCCCAGAAAGTGAGGGCATAAAGCCTACTTGGTGACTAATAAGAGGTGATGTACCCCAGGGGTCAATACCAAGTCTAGTCTTGTTTGTTATTTTCATTAGAGATCTGGATGATTAGGCCAAGTATAGTCTATGGGCCAAGCTTGCAGAAGGCACAACACAGAGGGAAGCAGCTGATGCAGCAGAGAGTTGTGCTACCACCGACAGACTCCAACAGGCTGGACAACTGGGCTGGGCCAAGCTTGCAGAAGGCACAACACAGAGGGAAGCAGCTGATGCACAGAGAGTTGTGCTACCACCCAGACAGACTCCGACAGGCTGGACAACTGGGTGGATAGGAGCCTCATGAAGTTTAACATGGGAAAATGCAAGGTCTTGCACATTGGAAGCAACAGCCTCCTCTTGTGCCAATGAAAAGGACCTATGGGTCCTAGAGGAAGCAAAATTAACAATAAGCCAAACAATGTGCCCTTGCCACAAAGAGGCAAAAAGTATCCAAGGCTGCACTGTGAGAAGTGTTATCAGCAAACAGAGGGAAGTGATACTTCTGATTTTTTCAGGACTGCTGAAGCGACAATGTGGAGTGCTTGTCCCCAGTACAAGGCAGATATGGAGATACTGGAAAGTGCAGCAAAGGGCCACAAATATGATTAGGTCCCTGGAGCATCTCTCATGGGAAGAAACACTAGGAGACATGCTCAGCCTAGAGCAAAAAAAGCCTCAGGCAGGAATCTCAATCCTCTGAAGGGAAGGTGTAAACAAGATGGAGCCAGGCTATTCCCAGAGACAAGACCAGGAGCAATGCACACAAGATGAAAAATAAGATGTCCCTGCTAAACAACAGGAGAAATTTTCACTGAGAGAGCGATTGACCACTGGCACAAGTTGCCCCAGAAATTTATGAAGAATCCACCCTTGGAGATATAGGAAAGACACCTGAATGTAGTCCTGGAACGTGAGCCCTAGGTGACAGTTCTTGAGCAGGGGTATTGGACAAGATCACCTCCAGAGGCCCCTTCCAGCAGTTAGGTGATTCCACTCAACAAGACTGAACACCTCATATCACCACTACATTAATCTCTCCTCTTTAAATGGCTGAACAGCAAAATATTATGGTGGCTGGGGCCCACTTCACCCTTTGTCCTACTTGTTCCATGTGTAGGGACAGAACCTGGAGCCATGTGGGCATGGTCAACACACTGTGCTACTTGATACCATCTTACATCATGCCTAGGAAGTGGGACTCTCTCATTTTCTGAAGGAAGATAATTACTTTTTCTGGGGAAGCAGTGAGGTAACACTGGTCCTGACCAGAGTATTTGTCCACAGGAGAGCACTTTGGGATGTTGAGTTGTGAGAATTTTGCAATTTTTTTTGCACATAAATCACCTTTGTTTTGTATACTTTTGTTATTAATATTGTCACTATTATTGTCAATATTCTTAATATCTCATGGCTTCCAGTACACTGCTCTTGTCTCAGCTTGATCTGTCTTTTGTCTTTCTCACCTGAGGAGGTGAGGAAAGGGGAGTGGCTACATGGGGCTCAATTTCCAGCTGGGCTTAAACCAAAACAGTCTTTCTTATTTCTGTGGCAAGGGTAGGACTTGGCATTATGTTAAACAGGCACCAGACCAAGTCAAAGAGAAAAGAGAAGGATCGTGGTCACAGACTGATTTGTCACAGACAGACTGCAGTCTCTAGTCCCAAACTGACCTTTGAAATTCTCTTACCTGAAAGCTCTCTTCTAGACCCAAATACTTGTTAAGTCTAAGGTTTAATTTAAGTAGGATAACTTAAATTTCTACAGAATAATAACCTGTGGAAGCATCAGATGAACCTGCATCAGTAAAAAGGTGAGAGTGACACAACTGCACACATAGCATTAAAAAGAAAAGGGAGCATCACTTTCAACAGTCTTAATCTCTGACAGCTCAACCAAGAAGGGACTTTACATCTGATACAGCAAATTTTTCTTGTAGTTCTACTTCCTTCATTCATGACATACTTACCGATTTCTAGGCAGAGTGCGTGTCTTGTTGTCTATTCCTCCAGTTCCCACATATTTATTTTGTCCACCTTGAAACCCATAATTCTTGCTCTCACCTATGAACAGTGACTCTGATACTTCCTGGCTGGCACCTTCATCATTTGGGAAGCTCCCATCACTATCAAAGAACATCAAAGATAAATCTTTAGCCAAGAATCTCCAGCGCCATTTTTACTTCTGTAACAGCCCTCCTCAAGCAAAGCAATATAGAGTTTATGGACAATACACATAACAGAAATTATTTAAAATGTACTCACCTTGCAAATGTTAAACCTATTCCATTGTCTGCAAACCTACAAGAAAGTCCAAAACATCAGTTGTTTTTTCTGAATTATCCTACAACTGGTTAATGTAAGAGTACATCCTGCTATGCACTGAAAAAAGATTGAATTTTTCTATTAATGGGACGTATAACCACCACACAGTTAACTTTTCTAAAAGCATTGTTGTTAAAAAGTAGTAAAATAATTTTCTACACATTTCAAACAGGACTTGAGAACTTCAGGGAGACAACAGAAATCCCAGTTCAAATTTACTGTCTCTACCAACTGTCAGGCTTCTTTTTACTACAACTGTTTTTTTGCTGTTTAAGGCAGGTTCTCATCTAACCACATATAAACCTCCATACTTGAAGTTGTGGGATGGTATGAGAGCTGATCATACTGAGAAGTTCCTAAAATTAACCATCAATCCTCTCCTATAACCCTGTTGTAATGCACTTTCATAAACAAAGCCTCAGAAAACAGTGTGCAGCTGTTTGCTTCCAAATACCTACCCAGAGTTCTGAATGAGGATATCCCCTCCTCTGACCCAGGCTCCATGATCATTATTTTTGAAAGAGATTAATCTGTCAATCAAGGCAGCAACTCGGGGCTTTTCAGGGTCTGCATCTTGATGAGGTCGAAACCTGGGAGAGATCAACACTCAGTACAAGAGATAAACACTCAGTACAAGTACTTTTTTGTACATGAGCCATATATGTTGAGCTGAGTAAACCTGAAAGACAAACAATCATCTGATGGGCAAGTTTCACTCTGCTTAATGTTTGGAATGAAAGAAGCTAAAAGCAGGTACACCTCTGGTCCTCACCAGTGCTAGAAAAGCGTCTGTGGGATATCATGAAGTAGGAATGTGAAATATCTCTTTTCCAGTAACTCTCACAAGCTCTTGCTCAGTCTCTCTACATTTCTTTACCTGCCTTTAGCCTCCCTTTATACCCCTTTTTCTTCTGCCCTCCCCACTTGTAATGAAGCATTAATGTGAAAGTTTGATGAAGGGAATTATAAGCTCCTTGGAAGGACACAAAGGGCTGACATTAGTTATGCAAGAACAGTCTGGATATTTGTCTAACTGATCCTTCAAATGGCTCAAGTTTTTCTGACATACAGCAGTGCTGCTTCTTTGGGCATGCCTGAGATTTTTTTATTGCATTGCTACCAAGATGGTCTTGTACAGTAAATCATGACTGGAATCTAGTTTAAACAGTAGGAAGAAACAGTCTGATTAAGAACTGGTGACATTTTCACTTGATTACCCCCAGGACAACAGACAAAAATTAATGCATTTTAATAAACTGCAAACAGGCATTTTGAGCAGGTAAAGATACCTAGACTGATATCCCAATCACCTGACACTCTTTTGTTGAGATGTGGATCTGCCTCCTCCCCATCCAAGGGAAAAATGGGAAGATAAGTAAGTGCTAGGTTTTGATAGACTCAGTCTTCTCAATTAACATTTAAATCCCTTCAGTCTGGTTCCATGTACAATGATCAGTGACCTCACATAGTTATGTAGTAGGCAATTCCTTTTCTTTCTGCTGTGAAACACAACCCCACTTCATGCACTGAGTTTCTTGAATCCTCAACACACTACAGGCTCTCAAAGGGCATCTTGCCCCTCTCAAGCTCCTCTCAATTAACTGTTATGACTGAGGTAAACCGCAAGGGTTATATGGATTTTCTGTCAAAACATGGAATTAGCAGGTTCATTTCTAAATTATGAAGTATTGAGTATCATCAAAATTTTGAACTTTCCTCTTTGTATTTGCAGTAGTCATTTGTCTTAAACACAAGTCAACTGACAATAAAGAATCTATGAACCATATTTTCAATGCTAATACTTAGCTAACACAATAAAATGTTGACAGATACAGTTATCCAATATTCATATAACCAATATCCCAGGCTATTTTATTTAAAGTTCAGGACAAGACTAACCAGGCACAGTATAAACCTGGCACTTTCCTAGACTCTCCATTACCTTCTCTCACTTTGTAAACTGAAGAAAATGTGGTTGATTGTACCACCTCTGCAAAGAGCCTTCAGTAGAACTGTACTACCGAGCTATGACTTCCAAGTCTAGAAGGAACAGCAGAAACATTCAGCAGCAGGAAAGGTGAGTGGATGCACTACTGAAACCTTTTTCTAACAATTAGTTAAAACGCAGTTATAAATCACAAGATTAGATTTTAAAGGAATATTTTCCTATCAGCAGCAATTCCAGAACCATTTTAAGCATGACAATAGAGCATGTTTAAAACAATGTCCTCTAAGAGGATGGAAACTATCCTGAGCCAAAACTCAGAAGAAACCCAAACCCTTTAAGGGACACCATCTCTGTTGTTCCCAAAACAGATTAATAAATGAAGGAAAATAACACATATGAACTGCTTGGTTATAATTTATAAACTATCTTATTGTTTTAAAAGGGTTTTTCCCCATGTGGATAGAAGAGCAGTCTCAAAACATGGCTATTTTTCACCCACTTGACAGAAAATATCCTTTACCTTGCATTGTTGTCCAAACAGAGATATTCTCTGGGATCATCGGCACTAGCATTAGTTGTTTTAACACCCTTATCAATGAACAAACCAGCCTGAAATAAACAAGGAAATAAAATCCATAACAACCCAAATTAAAGATAGAGTAAAAATGAAATTTTAAAAATTTAGGCATTGCATTATATACATATATTAGAAACTCTTAGATCTTTCAGTTTAGTTTCAACTGGCCTATTGTCTAAGGGAAAACAAGCTAATTAATATAATAAAGCAGTCAGTGCTAAAATGATATGAATTATCTGTGATTTTTTAAAAAAAGGCAATGAAAATTATCAATGGTCACTTCAGATTTATTTCACAACATCTGTTTGACGTTTTCCATTTATTACCAGATGCTGTTCTGGAAAATCTGGAAGCCAATCTTGTGGTGAGTTTGAATTATTATCATAAATGGAAAAGAAAAGAAACCCCAAAACCCACTGTGAAAAAATCTTTGTGTTTAACTTTAAAACTAAACTACCTTTACCATAAAAGATTATTTTGATCTTTTTTTTTTATTTTTGATCAGTAATAAGCTTTAAACGCAATAATCCAGTATGACTTGAGAAAAAAAAAAGCATGAGGAAGCATTTGTGCTCCTTTACCTGAACTATATACAAATACCTGTGACTACTTTCACCTCTGATCCAAATCAGGATTACAACTGAGTCTTGTACACAAGTAGATTCTCAGACCTGCTAGTGGAGCCCTCCTTCAACATGGAACTTTAGCACACAAATTGCTACCCTTGTTTAAAGATGATAATAGCTATACAGATGAAAATCTTTTCTTCACCATGCACTTTTGTATTGAGTGTGTTCTAATTCCAATCTGAATAAAATGCCCTACAGTCCCAAACACATTATTAACACAACTTCCATTAAACACTGCATCATTTCTTGATATCCCAGACAACTGTAAGGCAAAATCCGTTTCACTTGGAAAAAAGAAAATCCAATAACGATTTTATGAGGATTCAATGTTTAAATTATGAGAATCTCATGCAGCAAACAAATTCAACTATTTATTTAGAGTTAGATGGCTTTGAAAATGTCATTATATTTATACATACCCACAGCAACTGGATTCCAAATTAAATACTTTAAGGACTTCAGCTGAAGTGTAACTTTAGCTGAGATGTGGAAAAGGTTTAAAACTTATACTAACAGAACACTCCTCAATGACTGTAGGCTGAGAACTTCATAAGAAAACTGATGCAAAAAAGTGAGCTCCTGAAGGCAATATTATACTTTAATCTCTAGCCAGAGACTGCATCACCACGTGCAAACACCTGAGACTCAGAAAAATAAATTGTAGCTACTGCAGCAAGCTATTAGATGAATCACTACTGTAACAAACTGATTCTTCAATGGTCAGCTTTATTCTGAGTAGGAAACAAAGCTGTAAAGAGTAGCATCTGAAATGCTACTTCTTAAACAAGTATTTTATTACAAGCATTAATTGATTTTAGTTGTTTGTGTCTTACAAAGCTCTGAAGCACTGAATATCGAAAATGCAACTAGAAAATGCACCCATGCAGATTATACACTATTCTACAGTTGAGTTCAAACAGCACAAAATCTAATCTCCTACCCAGCTTAAAATGCGATCAGATAAGTTGTAATATAGAATACAGAGAGACAAAAACTTCATTTTTTTTTTATTAACATACTACATTACCTTAAAATTAGAATGAACCCTGTTGTTATAGAAGATTCCTAGGGGTGTAAGCTCTGATTTGGTTTCGATGGCTAGACTATGAGAATCTCCTGTAGCAACCCTGTGGAACAAATACCATATTCCAGCATCCTGCAAGTAATGAGAGAATAGTATAAGCAATTCTGATACTATTTTTGGTGCTGATACAGATTTTAAAATAAAGACTCCAAACAAAAATTTAAATAGTGAAAACGTGGGATTTTGCAAATAAGGCTACATTCTCATGGCCAATATCAACTAAAAGGTGTTTTGCTTGTCAGTGAAGCCATTCAACACCACATATTTAACATGTTCTAATATTTCAAAGTAGAAAAGTGTCTAAATTAAAGTAACTTCTGCATTTCAGTTATGTCAGACCACACACTAGATTTTTCCTTTACTAATAGATACTACTACTCAGAGTAAGATACTCAAAATCATTCCTCCTATCTTTACTCTTTCAGTCTGTTAAGGTTGGTTCATCTCTGCTCCCATCAAAATTTAAATGGTACAGCCAAAAAAACCCTCAGGGGCTTTCAGCAGACAATAAAAAAGCACACCAAGAAATCTGGCCAGTTCAGGGCACTGTGTCAATGACATGCAGTAATAATTTTATTATCTGTTCATTTTCTATACTAAATATCTCTTCTCTTAAAGAAGCTGGATTTATCTGCTAAATGAAACCCACAAAATTTTCCTTTCAACTACATCTGCATTCACAAGAGGTAGCACCATGACAACATCTGCATTGGAGACACCTACTGACATCAAAACCTTTGCCTGACCATAGGTTGTGTGCCATTTAAAAAAAAAAAATCACCCCAAAAGGCACATTAAAGAATTAAATGGTAGCTAAAGAAACACTGGGTGCTCCATCTCATAAAAAACAGTCATCAACCTTTCCAAGAATCATGTATAAAGCCAATTCACCCTGGCTTAAAGATTTCATGCATTTCACTCCAAGAATATACTAATTTTCCAATGAGTGCTGGAAATTCTACTTTACAGTAATGTTCCCATCCCAGTGTGTAATGATGACGCACTGACATTTCTGATTAACCATTACAAAGCAAATATGGATGTTCCATTAATAAAAATACCAAAATCTTACCTCACATATAATTAAGTACAGCTCTGTGTTTGGCAGACTCATTTTACCCAAAACACCCTCTGAAGCTTGAAAAATAGACTTAAATAAACTTAAAAGCTTGTTAGGCATCTGCAAGCATTCAGAAATATGAAAAAGGTTGGGTTTTTTCCCCTTTTCTCTCTCATACACACCAAAACAAAAGAAACATCTACTGCCCATAGAGCCTTACAATAGGCTTCACTGCATAATTAAGGACCTTGGGGAGGAATGGAATTATTTGGCTGTGAATTGCTCTAGTTTATACCAGCAAAAGCTCCATAGTGCAGAGTCTGTATTAACACAGTTGAATTATTCTATTTTTGAAACAATAAGCTGTGGTCCCTTTATACTCATGTGTTTACATCCATGCAAGTGATGTATATCGGAGTGGCTAAACTTTGTAAGACACAAATACTTGTTCCAGTCAGGCACATCCTGCTAACAAAAGCAAGTAACATCTATTGGGATGAGCTACACAGGCAGAAAAAGACTTTGCAGGACTTAAGCACCAGATAAAGAAGAAAAAAAGCTGTTTAACTTAGCCTGCAAAGCCTAAACTAGGTATATTACATAAATCTGGCAAAGTAGAAAGACATTGTGTTGGACAAAAAAACAACTGGCTAAATCTGGGAGATGAGTCCAGATTCCTTCTAGTGATAGACAGTCAAAAAAATCAAACAGAAACAAACTCACTACAATAAAAGCAACAAGAATTAGACCACACAAAACCAGAATAAAATTTTCTGATTTTTTTAATAACTGAATTGAAATATCTGGAGTAAGTATTTTGAATCTGATTCTATTTATTAATAACAGTTACCTGCTAATAAATAGATTATTTACGTATATAAATGTTATCATTTGTAGACAAATGTTATCTGAGGCTAAAAATACATAGGCTCTTCCAATACCAGAGCCTTTGCAACAACAATCAATAACCTTTCCTGTTTTCCATTCCCACTGATCTCTTCAGAGAAGTCCAATTAAACACCTTACATATCTCAGCCTCTAATCCAATACAGAACAGACTCCAGCCCCCTCCTCCACATTATGTACATCTTTATATCACAGGCAGCTATGATAAGATATTTGCGCTAATATAAGGTTCAGAACAAGCAAAACTATATCAGCAGTAACTGGCTGTAAACAATTGCCTAACCACTGACAGAAAATAAGCATTTTAGCTGTTTCTTACACAATGAACAACTTTTTGTAGTAATTTTTCATTCCAGTGACTACAGCTCTCGCAGAACTGTCACTAAACTCATGACAACCTACAGAAAATACAGAAGACTAAATATGAAATGCACTAATTCTGTGAAAATAAAAGTATTTCTACACAGACACTACTACCTTTCTACACTGACACTACTGTCAGGTCTATTAAATACAAAGAAGGGATCTCCTCTGTTGCAGCCACAACAAAGATTTTTGGCATCACTTAAATGCACACCTAGATACACCCTGCATTTTCAATGCCAGTATGCTGCCAAACATAAAAAGATACGTATATAAAAAAAGAAAATATATGTAAATCTGGCAGTGTAAATATTACAGATTTTACAAACGCCAGTTACATAAGTAGTTTGTCATGAATTATACTCATATGCCTTACCTGTGAGCCTGCTGCTGCATTGTTTATAAGATGATTGTTGGGATGAGAAATCCAGAATGTTGAAACGGCCCTGAAATATTATTCAGAAACTAGTTACTAAAGACAACCTCTATCTCCAACAGAAATATCTTCCCTTTTTAACAGCATCAGAAAAAGGTAAACTGATGAAGTAACTACTTCACATTCAAAATACAAATCAGAAAACCTTCCATATCTAGAAGTCAAAAATGCCTTTTTTTTAGTTCAGTGCACAGTATTGTATTTAATGTTGTGCAGTTATCCCATGCAATGATAAACTGTTTTTAAGAAGCTTTCACAAGAAACAAGTAGTATTCAGAAAAAAATAGTGGTTATAACTTCAGAATATGCATAGGTTCATGCAGTAGTGAATATGTTCAACAGACTTCTAAGGTCCCAAGTATCACAAGAAACAACAATGTTCCTATGAAATATTTTTTTCCTTTAACAGAAGACTAAGTGTTATTTTTATTGCTATTTTTTAAATACCAGTACTATATGAACTACATTGATTAAATTATAGATAAAAATGTTTCCATCTGTACTTTGTCAAAAGATCATCAGCAGTTTAACTGCTACAGCTGGCTGGGTTTTACTTTTTATCAAGACATACTCACATGCAGTCTGTGGCTGGCACTGGGACATAACTTCCATATACCTTATCCCTAATCCCAATACACATGCTGCTGTTTCTGTCTGTAGGTAGAATTGTCCCTGGTTTTGTGACTAGCCCAAGGTTGTGGAACAAAGTATTCCTCTGCTCAATACCATCTTCTATGAAGAAACAGTGACCCAATGTGTCATAGCCAATGGTGTCCTTTATCTGTAGAAATGTAAGTTCATTATGTCAGCAGTAACAGCATTTACTGACATTTATTTGACAAATACCATCTAGTTTTACTATCTTGGCACAGCTGCAGAGTAAAGTGTCAGTATCAGCAGCTCAGATGATTCAAGCACATGGTTTTATTAATCCCTTAAAAACACAGTGCTGTCTGGAGAGTTTAGCTGCCTTACAGCTGTCTTACAGCTAGCTGCTGTAAGAATCTGAAAAAAAAACAGAATGGTGAGAACTGTAAATTACTGTTTGTAGGAATTTATTTATCCACTGAAATAAGAAAACCATTGCTGAGCATTGGATTTGCATAAGGAATGGGATTATTTTGGCCTCTAAATGCTCTTTATAATATTTATTCCAACATAACAGGTTTTACTCTCTGTGCACCTACCAGCAAACCATTAGTTGCATGAACAGTCACACATCTGGAGAAACAGTGATGAATGGAAAGACCTTCCAGGTAAGTTTTAAAAGTATACCCTCCTTTTTCATCCACATCCCCACAAAGGTGAAAGTGAACAGGGTAACTTCCAATCTGCTGCTGGCCCATTTGCTTCAATTCCACATAGGAAAGGTGAACAGATGTAAAATTCTTCAAAATCTGAAAAAAAATTAAGTCCAGAGGGAAAAACCAATTTGCCTTTTAATCAATGGAAATTTTAATACATCATCTACCCTGGATGTACAGAAGCTAGATGTACGCAGTTGTCACAGGCCAACACAATAGAAGTTATAACAAGCATTACTGTCTTGCTCTACAAGCCTTACAAAACTGTATCCCTCATATATGATTTCTCTATGTGGCTACAATACAGGAATTTTCACCAGACATATTGCCACACTGTACTATTTGGTCTTTACCAGTGGCAGATTAAATATTCTTACATGTACTGTCCAACCAAACAGAAGTCACCCATATCTGGGAGTGTCAGTAAGGAAGCTGCACCTGCATGGTCCATCTGTGACAGGCTTAGCTGAATAAAAACCACAAAACAATGCAGATTCAAAGGAACCTGTTGAGATACCTAGCCTGGCTGAGAGCTCGGTGCTTGGTCAGCTTCATAAAACAGCTGCTCAGAGAATAGCTCCAGTCACAGAGACGCTCATGGAGTCAATTGGTTCCATCCTTTCTTTTTCGCAGTATGTGAGCACTATTTGCCTTCTTTAAGCCTGGTCCCATTGCCTCTTGTCCTCCAACTGTGCACCTGCAAGAACTGCTGTAGCCACTCTGAACCCTCACCAGTACCTGAAGATCTCTCCTCTCAACTCCCCATCACTCATCATCATACACTGCCACACCACTTTTCCAGGACACAGACCAGTGCATCTACATTTTCATTGCAATGAGAACCCAAAACTGGACACTGAACTCCAGAGAAATGTCTTTACTAAGGAATATATGAAATAATCCTCACCATCATACAACTTCACAGTAATGTTACTATGTATGAAGTAAAGTCATAATGGGCTTGTACCAGTAATGCAGGAAAGTACTTTCTTCCACCTAACCTGCTATGAAAGCATAAACCAAGTGCAACAGCTAAACTGCAAGGAGCTAACTGGAGTTAAAAACCCAACAAAAAAATCAGAAACCAAACCAAAACAAACCCTACCTTTTTTTTTTTTGTAACTTAATTTCATTAACTTAGCTGTACTGAGTAATTATCAAAAATATCCATTTTCATAGGGAACTGATTAAGCTTTTTTCCTCCTCCTCTAATTGAACTCTTCGGGTTTGTATACCTAACATACAGAAGGATGGTCAAAACCTGACCTTTTAGGCATCTTTAATCTCTAGCTCTTAACTACTGAAAAGCACCAAAACGGCAAACCATTGCCTCTCCTCACTGCTACTAAGCCCCCTTTAGGCTACTGAACCAGTGACCAGTAGGAAATTCAGGATGCTCAAAAGCTATTACATTTCTTAACATCTAGGATCCCTCTGCTTGAGCATATAAGATGAGCATAAGCCAAAAATACTTTCAGTGCTGAAGTCTAGATTTGGCAGCAGACACTCACTACTCAGTCTCCTGGGAACAATTTAGCGTTGATGAGTCAAAAACTTTGTTTTCTTTTCTACCTTCCACACAACTGAAGGTCTGCTTATTTATAAGTTTGTCGCCCTTAGCAAGATTCACAGCTTGTCACTATCTTCTTTCATTACGTTATCTTGAACCCTTGACATCTTGAGCCCACCTACCTTCTTCCACAAAACAAAAGATGCCACATAGTAGGAAAGGGCTTATTTTCTTTCCCACTATTATGGCCACCACTATGAAATTAAAATCTGTATACAAATACATTAGAAAGAGATTTAAACTGTGTTGACCACATCATGAACACAAATATATTTGCAATTAAAATTTGAGGCCTCAAACTTCTCTAGCATCACTGAAGCACTGCTGCTCAAATATTTCATCTAGAAGTGAACACAAGTTAAAATACTAGTTTCTAGAACCTCCTTTCTCTCAGCTTTGTTTATTCAGAATGCAAGAAATTTGAAGCAGTTTCCTTTATAGAGCCTTAGTACTTTCAGACTTTTAAGAAACTAAATATAAAACCCCATAGTACAAGTCAGTTTCTTCCCCTCCATGCCCCTCTAGTGCTCAGGTTCAGATGGGAAATCTGAATTAGGATTCAATGCTCATCACCTGAAATCCTAATTCAGATTTCACTACAAAAGGCAGTGAAAGGAAGGAAGGGAGAGAGGTCAAGTTTTATTCTGTAATGTTATAGGATGTACATGCATGGATGTCACTTGTTCAATCCCTGACATAGAATGTTACAGCATCTGCTGGACGTTTCTAGAACAGTTTGAGCATGATAACCCTTCCTTCAATTCTGCAAACTAACTTGAGGAGTTAAATCTAATCTGGGTAAAGCTGAGAATGAAGTAATTTCCACAAAAAGCAACTGAATGAACTGACGTTCTTGAAGTTTTCAAATCCCTTGAAGTTAAACATCAATCTTTTTGTCCTTAATATGCCTTTCTATGACAGAAAGTTAATTTAAAATGCTTTTCAAACCTTGATATGTCCACCAAATGTATCATAACTGAAGAACTGACACTCCTTTTCAAGATAGCAGGCATTTTCTGTCTCCCCCTTTATTAGGATATTTCTTGTAAGAACTCCAACTTCTGCTCTCATGTCCACTCCATCAATTACTTCTCCTACATGAGGAAACTGAGGGTTTTCTGTCCAACAAGTTTTGAAGCAGGAGGAAAAAAAGAAAAAAAAAAGAAAAAAAGGCAACGCTGATTAAAACCAGAATCAACTTACAGAAATAAGAAAGATAACTGCAGCAACAAAACCTGTGCATTCCTCTTCCTTAACATGCTGGTCTCTCTCAGCTTTTCTTATGGTAGATGTATTTTTCATTTTAATAAGAAATCGATCCTCAAAAAATACCAATATTTTATTTGCAAGTTCATCTTAGAGTTTTGATCCAATAGTTTGTGAACAGAATGGGAAAAAAAAACAAAGAAGAGTTTATTAATCCAATGTATCAAACTTTTAGTGAAACACAGATGCAGACTTGCTTTAAAAGAAAAAAATATGCTGGCTGCTTAATCTATTTCAAGAACAAATTAAGAACTGAAAGTGAAGCCAAAGCACTGTTTGAAAATGCTGTACTGATATCCTCCTGAAAGAAAAAAGGACTTGATTTCCTAAGTTTCCTCTTTATGTATCTTCAGAATAGCTACCTAAGGTTCATGCAGTAGTTCATGCATTCCTACCTAAGAAAGAGGAAATTGGGGAAAAAAAGATAGTCTGATTTTACACCCATCTTCAAAAACCCAATCACTTTCCCATTGAAAGTAAGAAAATTATCTGGTTCTGTAAACCTTAAAAATGCATTTATTGATACCCTGAATACAGATTATCACTATCTCTCCAAGCCTTTAAAAGAAAGGATATAAGGCTAAACTACCACAACATGAAGCAGAACTAAGAGTGACACCAACACTATAACTGCTTCTGAGGATTTAAAAAGACAAGAGGCATCTGTACATGAGACTGCACTCCTCACCCCTAAAGGCCTGCCTATTGTTTTTCCCTGTATTTGACTAGAAACTCAAGAAATCAAGTTCAGAAAGAGCAACCAGGGCTCCGACAACACAATACTTGTTGTTTCCTACTAAGAAAGGTGAAACCAGCAAAAAACCTAGCAAAACAATGCAAGAAATAATTTCAAATCATTACGCATTCATCAGCATGTCAAGTTTACCATTACAGAGAAAATTCATTTGTTGTGGAACAAATATGTAGGGTGGCATGTGGATTTTTTAAAACGGTATACATTACTTTGAGAAAGAAAACTACATTGAAGGTGGCAAAGAACCCCAACTGGGTAAGTTCACCTCCTTTAGTATCTTTTTAATTAGGATTTACTTTTGGGGGAAAAAACCAAAAAGCAGCCAAGATTTCAAGTTTTACACCATATCTTGTGAAAACGGGATTTTTTTTAACCTTTAAAAGCAGCTGCTTTTTCACAGCACAATTTCCAAGATGAAATAAAGTCTATGTACAAACTGCTCAGTGGTGACAAGAAACTTCTTAAACTTCATATTGCAACTTTTCAGTTAAGTTTGCTCTTTAAAACACTGTGCCCAATAAAACACTCAACATAATGCTTAAGAACAAAGTTCAGGAAATATCACATTCAATTGCACTAAGTTAGCTCTGCAGCTTCGCTCAAACTGGCATTTTCTGATGGTGTAATCACATGAATGTGGATATGCTTTCCTCATACTTGAGATTTCTCAATGCAGTAAAACATACATGATCCATGGTAACAAACATGTGAGAAGCAAATTTCACAAACAGCAGGAGAGCCAGACTGGCAGTCCCTTAAGGCAGAGGTGTACAGGGAAATCTGAGGGTCTTGACAGAAAACTTCTGAGAATGAAGGAGAGCACTTCGAAGAAGAGGAAGTTGCGCTGTGCAGAAATTAATGGGACAAAACCAGACTGAGAAGAGCAACCACTAGCTGCTGCAAACTAACACTGCAGAACAATTTGTTAGTTTGTGCTTCAGACTAATGCTGCAGCCCAGAAGGAGCAAGAGGGGAAACTCCAGAGCAGAAGCTGGAGGACACCAAGGGGGAGGGCGGTACCATGGAGCAGGTGTGGAGCAGCAGAAGGAAAACAGAGACTCCAGCATAGCTGGCAAGCCACTCCCATGGGAGGCTCCTGTGATGTCAAACAGAATGACTCAGATAATAAAAAGGAAATGGTCAACAACATTCATGACCATTTACTTGTGCATCATACCCAAAGGAAAAACAGATTGCAACTACTCAGGGATATCCTGTGACAGCAGAATCTTGGAAGGGCCACTTATTTTATAACCATTTTGTTATAACCATTTTCCTCCCAGGGGAGGTGGGAAAAAGGAGACTGAGGGAAAGGAGAAAAAAAGAAAAAAGGTACAGGTTCAAAGACTGCAATTTTCTTTTTTCCTTCCTGTTTTTATATCTACTTTTTTAATAACAAAAGAAAAAAAATATTTTAACAGTTCAACAGATGAGAATGACACTAAAGGCAAGGGAAACAAGAAATTACCACAACAGCTATGCAAGCATGTGGAAAGACAGAAAGGAGCCAAGGAAGGAAAACAAGCCTAATCCTACTGGAAAAAAAAAAAAAGGCATCATCAATTACTGAGCCTGGAAGCAATGAGAAAGAGAAGTTAGCATGGTGAGCTGTGAGGCAGACCTGACATACAGTCATTTTATAGGAAGGAAAATTACACATCCGTGTATGTGGCAACAAAGCCATACAGTGATTCAAGAAATGGCTGCTCTTTACTGCTTACACTGCAAGGGCCTGTCCAGCAGCAAACACATATTTCACACAGATTTCACGTGGTGACTGCTCTCATACCTTTGACTTTAACCTGATGCTTGGTACACTCCATGCAGGGAAGGAGGGTGAATTCCTCTGTCTGATACATCGAATAGTCTGTGCTCGCAACCACAATCCTGTCTCCAGGCTCCCAAGTACTAACATCATCCAGAAGATTCAGTATTACTCCACCCACTGCTTCCACCTGGAAGCCTGATATTGGGACACCTAATTAAAAAATAAAAGAAAATGAAACAAATATTATATTCACCTTCATATGAAACAATTCCCAAGAAGATACTAACAAAATAGGTAAGAGATTTTGCAGGCCCCAAAGCCCTCTAAAGTACAGCTTTGCTTTCAGACATGCCAGTGTGAGATGCCTTTAAAGCCTGTTTACTTATTAGATCTCAAACAAAACAAAGGGAAAACACAGAACTAATGGTGACTGGAATAAACTATGATTTTTTTTCCTTCAAAAAACCCTAGTATCATATAGCAGTAATTTGTAGGTCCAGCTGCCTCTGCTTGTTTCAAGTGACATTTTTTTGCCATTTTGAACTATACAGATGTAATCAAGGACATGGAAAACCAAGTTGAGGACTTTCTTTTTTAAGCACAAGTAATAGAACACTTTGGCAGACTAAACTGCACAGACACAGAATTTCACTGGCTTAAGATGAATTTGCGTAAGTTCAGCCACTTTGCTAACTCTTGAACCTAACTCTACAGCACCAGTAAGTAAAAAATGTATTTCGGTAGATTTTTTTTTATGTAAGTCTTTACATTTTCATGGGGCGATCAAGAACAGTAAAGGAGTAGTAACAGCTCAACTGCCTAACAAATACATTTTTAACTACCATAAAAAATTTTAAAGAAAACACAATAGCATTTAGTAATTCTAAAAACAGAAAGAGACTATTACCCATAAAAACTCGGATCAAATATATCTTAAATTTTAAAAAATATTAATAAAGGATAAAAGCAAGCAAGTGGCAGGTCTAGCTTTTTATACCACAGACTCAACTTTGTAATTCTCTGCTTGAACAGACTCAACTTTGTATCAGAACAGCTGACTAAAGTTCAGCACTCTAAGACCAACCAAAAATTGTAACAAGAATAAAACATTTCTTTTGGCTTCTGAAGTTTGGGGTTTGTTTTTTTTGGTTTTTTTTTTTTTTTTTTTCTTTTGGACCATAACCAACATCTCAAAAGCTCAGATTTAAAATCTACTTGACATGCCAAATTACGAAAATAAACTTTAAAAATGTCAAAATTTATAAGACTCTTAATCTAAATAAACTAGAACTTAAGACTAGAAATTGAGCAATATTATGCTGCTCACATACTGTGAGAGTGAGAAATAGGTAGTATTGAAGAACTGTGTCTTCCTATTTCATCCATAGCAAGAAAAAACAACTTACAGCAACACTCAAAAATTTAAATTGCAACCAGAAGTTTTAGAGAAAAAAAGGCATATTAAGAATTTTTTCTTTTCCCCTCAAATGCAGAATTTCACAAAACACTTTCCTACCATCATTCCATTCGCTGTAAGCTCTCACAACAAACTTCTGACCATCCACTGTGAAAAACTCTTTTTGAGCAAGAGCTTTCCCACCAGTGCTGTGGTTTTCATAGTTTCTCACTGATTCATTACAGGAAGAATTTCCACCACCTATGACACCAACTAAAGCCCAGGCTTGCCTGTGAAAATCAAAAGTAAATGTTTAAATATAATGGCCCTTTAAAAATTCTTTACACAACCAGGAAAGGCAAGGAGTATACAAGTCATAAAAAAGCCTTTTGCTTGTTCTTCCAAATTAATTTTAAAATAGAACTTCAAAATGTAGAAGGAAATGGGCAAATGTAACAGCAGAGAAAAAAAAGTTTAAAATAACTGGGTGTCCTATACACAAATTGGCAAACAACAGCTCTTACTGGGGAGGGCTGTCATATACATTTTTAGTAAAACCTTCAACAAGATACACATTTTTCCAAAAGCAAATTGCTACAGATGTGTGACAAAAGCTACACAGGATCCTACTCCCAAACAACTTTAGCAAGGCCCAGGAGGAGCAGGAGTCAGTACCAATAGCCCCCTGCCATTTGCCAGCAACACCCCAAAGGAGCAGTCAGGACTCCAGAAGAGCACATGCTCCTCAGGCCAGGAGGGATGGACACAGCCTGAAACACATCAGACACTGGTGTTCACCCCTGTGCCAGACAGGCAATAGCTTTTGAATCTTTCAGGATGCCCAGACACAGAAAAGGAAATCCATGCTGTTACACAGCCTTCATACAATATACCACTCATGTGTGAGTGTTTAGAAGTTTAAACCAAACCATGCACCACAGATAGGTGCCACCAAGTTCAAAAAAACAAATTTATTTTGCTGTCCCTTACTGCTCTGTAATGCCATAACTACGTGTGCAAAGGAAGCAGTAGAGATCATCTACAAAAAAGCCAGACAATTTTGCATCATTAAAGTTGAATCATTCATCCCAAGTGAAAACAGTGTCAGCTAGCTGGACTGCAGTCTGTTGCTAATGATTAATTCAATGGCAGATAGTAAACCCACCTTCAATACAGTTGCCTTTATTTTAACCTTCTTGACGTTTTTGTTGATTGGGATCAAAAAGCCTGAAAATACTTCAGCATTAACATGTTCAAAGAAATAGTACATACTGGGCCAGCTTTTTAGTAGCAGCAGCAAACAAGCTGAACATTTCACATACTGATATTCAAAATAAAGTTATTTTGATGCATGCTTTCATTCCACATGTTGCAGGAAGAAATGTAGAAGGGGAGAGGGCTGTAATGAGGTATTCACCTCCATGCTGACATCTTTTTCACCACCATTAGAGACTTAAGAAAATGACTCTGCTTTTCCTGAGCAAGCCACCAGGGACAGCTTCTTGCCTATCTGCTGCTGCAGAACAAAACAGTTTTACGTGCTTACAGAGCCTTTACTGGCTAAGGAAAGCAGACAAGGATCAGTTCAGCAGAGACACAAAAAAGGCTGCTTCTTCCCAGTTACAAGATGAAGTTCCTCCTTTCAGACAAACTGGTGTGGAAGTTATGGGCAGAGACCAACCCCAGAAACATGCACCTCTCAGGACATGCTGGGCTGGCTGCACCACAGCCTGAGCAACGTGAAGCTTTGCTGCTTTCAGGAAGTGGTATTCTACAATAGAACATCCAGGTCTTGGCACTTTTGGCCAAACTGCTACAGAGGCAAGAGCATTCCATTCCACACCCCTATGCTTACACAGTCAGTGACACAAATGTAATCCTGACAGGAACTGAGGTCAGAACATGCCATCCTGACTGACACGCCAGCCTGCCTCTGCCAAAGCACAGGGAGGAAACTAACTGAATCCAGACGTCAGGGGATAGCAAGGGATAAGAATAGAACGGAAAAACCAAATGACCAATTTCCTGGAAAACACTGGACAATACCAAAAGGTTATACAACCATCCCAAAAGAACAACAGACTGGATATACTTTTCACTTGTATTGCCAACACAGAATCACAGAATTACTTAGGCTGGAAAATACCTTTAAGATCATCAAGTCTAGCCTTTGACCGATGGCCATCTTGTCAGCTAGCCATGGTACCAAGTACCACATTCCTCGAACACCTCCAGGGACGATGACTCCACCATCTCCCTGAACAGTCTGTTCCAATGCTTAATAACCCTTAATTCTTCCTATGTTCATCTGTAAACCTCCTCTGATGTAGCTTGAGGTTACATCCTCTTGCTCTGTCACTATTTGCCTGGCAGAAAATGCTGATCCCCACCAGGCTTGTAGAGAGCAATAAGGTCCCTCTCAACCTCCTTCAGTTCAGGCTAAACAGTCTCAGCTCCCTCAGCAGCTCCTCATATGACTTACTACACTCTAGACGCTTCCTCAGCTCCGTTGCCCTCCTCTGGACACACTCCAGCACTAGTCTTTATTGTAGTAAGGTAGTCTTTATTGTAGTAACGGGCCCAGAACTGGACACAGGACACAAGGTGTGGCTTCACCATTGCCCAGTACAGCACTACCTTGGTCCCACTGGCCACATTATTGCTGATACTAGCCAGGACCTTCCTGGCCACGAGGGCACATTGCTTTTTGTTGCCCAGAACAATGTGGACAACTCTCTGTGGCACAAAGCCAAATTCAGAATACACACTGCAAAAATCCATTTGCAATAACTAAATGAAGGGCAATGAGGAGCAGTGTAAGTTTCTTGTTTTAATAACTCCTGTTATACTTCTTCTACTGTCTCACCATCCAAATCCTGACCAACTGAAAAGGACGGTCAAAAGATAAAGAAACACCTTGTAACTACATTTCAATCACAAAATAATTTGACAGGTCAGCTTCTTTGAGAACTCAATGGAGAGGCAATGTACTTTTTCAGCGCAGGAGTATGAATAAGATGTTTGATACCTGGGATTAATATCCCTCAGAAATAATACTTTGGTTTGGAAGAAACCTTAAGAGATCCTTCAGTTGCACTTGTTGCTCTTCCAAAGTCATACAAATTAAAAGCTTCACCTAGCAACTTTTACCTATGTCTTAGTTTAATTTCTATAAAGAACAGTGAAAGCAAGTAATTTCAAGTAAAAAGGTCTGTCCCACAGACACCAGTCTCTGCACTGTACTGCTAACTGAATACTATTACTGCAACACTGTGTACAACATCAAGAACTCTCCGAAAACTTTATGAACTGTCAAAGTTTAACAAATCCCCCACAGCAGAAATCTGCATGCCATCTTTAATCAGCACAAAAGGGAAAATAAATTACTTACCTGTAACTTAATCCTCTGACAAACCTACTTCCCAGAAGATTTTGAATAGTGACTCTGGTTTCCTCCAAAAGATTTTTAGCAGCTGAATCTCCTACAGCAATAGCAATAATGCGACCAGGATGCCCATTTTTCAGTAAGTTCTGGAGCTTTAAGCTTTCCTCTGCAAATTCATGAGTATCAAACTTCAGCACTTCCAAAACTTCCGCTGTATCCTGATCGATCACTCTAACATTTAGTCCTCGGGAAAAATTCTTTTTAAATGTATAATGACCATAGGCCAGCCCTGAGAAATATACAGTCTTTGACAGAAGAGTCCATGATACCTTCTGGTGCCCGTGCAACTCCAGCGTTCCTTCAGGGCCCACGCCAATAAATTTTTTGCCAAATTCTGGCACATCAGCACCTTCGTTTGACTTCCCATACAAAATAATAGTTGCTTTGGATTTATAGCGGCATTTCTCTGCTCCAACATGAAGCATTCCACCATCCTTTATCAGGATAAATCGAGTTCTCAAGGTAATGTTTTTAGAACCTTCTTTATCATCACCAAAAACAAGTAAACCTAAAGGAAAAAAAAAATATTTCTGTACATTGAAGCAAAATTCAGAGAGACTCAACCACCTTTTTCAGAAAGGACAAGAGAAACATTACAGATTTATTTTCACACCCATGAATTAAGGTGTTATGGTCTTACATATATTTAAGAATGTTTGAGAAAGTAACTGCTACCAATTGTGATTCATCTTTCTAAGCATTTGCTGATTTATTCCTATTCTTTTTCTGCCTGTTTGGTAGGATTACTAATATACAACAGTTACCATTGGAGGACAAACAGATTGAGTACTGCACAGGCTACTAAACAACCTTGCTTTCCTATACTGCACAGAAAACTACATCAATGCTGTCCTGAAAAGATACTAGAGTATCATCATACAGAATTCATCTTTTGAACGATATATGCAACCTGGCAGCAGGCTGAAAAGTAAAAAAGCATGGGAACTGGTCAATAAACTGCTAGATAAAAGTTTCAACATATTTTTGTGCAATCACAGAAGTAAAAAATATGCAGGACGCTGAAGCAAGATGTTCATCTTCCTATTTCATACCTCCATCCTGTATAACTATAGAGTGTACTGTAGCATCTGAGTTAAGACGAAACAAATCCCCTTTTTTGATAATAACTCGTTTTTCAGGATCTTTTCCAGGGCTCCAGTTTTTAAGGCGAGGATTCTGATCAGGACAATTCTCTGCAATACAGTGTGAAATCCAACTTTTAAAAAACAAACATCATCACACCAATCATGGTAGCATTAGGATGAACACAAGTAAGAAAGGGTCAGTCACCCACAAAGGACTCCCACATCCCTCTGTGCTTTCAAGACTGCAGTCATTGCAGAAATAGCCAAGAAGACACCTGAAAACTGCTGAAGTCTCAGGGGTAGGAAGGCATTATTTCACTGAATTAAACTACTACTGACCACACATTATTGACCATAGATACTTTTGAACCCCATCTGATTTTTCTCTTATTTGCTAGGTCACCTGTAGTAGATGAGAAGAGATAAAGGGAATGCAGTTAGACAGAGAGCAGTCACTGAGCACTGGAAGCCTTAGGCCAGCTAACTAGGCTAACATGGTTACAAAGCACCTAAATATCCCCCCTCCTCAAGGTCTCAACTCTGTCAGAAAGGCTGATCCCTTCTTACTTTTAAGCATTCAAATCATTCTCTCAGTGGAAGTTTGCAGGAAGGACAAGACACCCTGAACATATTTAGTATAAAACATAACTAGCTAGAGCAGCTCCCCAGGACATGAGACATTTGGAATCTAACTTAAACATTTGTATCCCTTAGGACGTGAGCTTGAATATCAGGCTACAAACCACACAAGAGCAAAGACGCATGCAGTCCTTGCTGAAAGCTGAGGCACTACACAGGCTATAAACCAAACTACACGGCCAGAGAAGGAGAGGCAACAGCAAGAAGTGACAGGCTTGTATGATTTCAGACAAAGTTACAGCAATGTAGTACTTATACCACACATCTCTTAAACAAATTAAGCATCTGAGTAACAGGGAAGCATAGACACACCATAAAAACTGGAAAGTAGATTTCTTGGATTATCTTATCAAAATTAAAAATAAATATTTAAAAATTTAACCATTAAAGATATCTTTTTCCTGTACAAAAGACAATGAAAAAATTGCTAAAATAAACATGTTAGCAGGCCAACTGAGGTTAACAGCCAAAATAGCTTTTTCACACCCTGTCTTCTGAAGAAATACACCCACACTTCTGAAGTGCTACTTCGGAGGCAAAAAGCTATCAGTAATCATCCAGTCTTGCAATAACTAAAGAAACCAAAACCTATCCACAAGTTTAATACAAGCCAGCCTTAGTTTTGCTAACATAAATGTTTTTCCTTTGGTATTAACTCTCCACATTTCAAATCCCTCCCAACACAGGAAAGCCACATAAACCAAGATTTGACTACCAATGGAGAAAAATTAGCAAACTGCAGAAAGGGCAGAAGGCAGACAAACAGTATTATGAAAATAAAAACAAAAAGTCTTTTGGGAAGATCCTATGAAGACAGCTTTTAGAAAATGTAATTCAACACGAGGGAAAGCTGAAAAGTAAGGAGAGCTGCAATCAGCAAGACTGCTGAGCATTCACCAGATAAAGAAAAGTCTACTGCCTGATTCACTCAGAGTCCCTAATCCCTTTTCCCCAGACACCACACACACAAGCACTGTGAAGAAACACTTATTTCCTGGCCGGTAGCAAAGGGCAGTGTGAGGAAACCATGAGTCAGCAACCTGGTGACTTCTGCTTAGTGTGATTCATGGAAGAGAAGACCTAGTGAACATGTATTTTCTTGCTGAATCAGAAAGAAGACGTATAAAACAGTAATTAAAAAAAAAAATTATTTTAAAATCTATTGTACATTACAATCCAGCAAGAAAGCATTCAGAATCAGAACAGGCACTCCTGTAACGCAAACATGCTTTTGGGGCACAGTGGGTCAACTTTTTGGCAAGCAGATCAGATGTTTAGCAAAAGTATTTTGAAATTTCCCCTTACCAATTGTGGTGGGCTGCATGAAAACATCAAATATTTAGAACTTCACCGTATGTTATCTCCAAAATTATCAAGTAGATTTTACAGATAACAGTTAGAGCCTTTAAAGTTAAATAAAAACAGAAGCACAGACAGAAACCGTTAGGTAGTGATGACCTTGCCAAATCTAGGCACCCATGTTGAAAATTTTTTAAGTCAAGCCTCTGCTTCAAACATTTCTTTAAAATAGGATCAGCATTCCTTCAGATTTATTAGCTTCTATCAGAGCTGGGGGGAGAACTAAAATTTCTGCAAGTAGTGGAGGAAAAGTACAACCATCGGACCCACAACAAAGCATCCTGACCAAAAAACCAGTTCAATGATAGAACCTTTCATGGAGCAAGCATATGAAATTTGACAGGAGAAAAACACAGGCAGGGAACAGTTCTCAAGATACAACTAAATAGTTACTTCCTACTTGTTTAGACACCATGTCTAGAACTCTTAAGGCCTCTGGGAAAAACTTATCAGTGTTATATTATGCCCAGCAAAGTCTGTAAGACTTCGGCAGCTAAATTTTCTGAGGATCCTGTTTACCCTGGGAAAGGTCCAGCCGAGAGCTGGAAGACTGAAGAACTTTTCCCTGTCTCCCCAGCTTAACCTTGCATCAGAAGCCTGGAAAAATGGGGAAAGAAATTGCATTTCCATTGCTCTCCTGGATTTCCAGTGCTCAGGACTCCTTAGATGAGTCAGGAATACAGAAGCGTGGAGGAAACAGAAACCAGCTGATAAGCAAAAACAGAAATGCTGATAAGCAGCATCTTCCCTTTGGAGAAAGTACGGTGGAGGTTTAGAATTTACATGCATTTACTACCAAGTAATTCCTTCCACTGCCTTTTAAACAGCCATTAAAAGTTCTGACAAAATGGATTTCCAACTAGTCCTGAAGAAAAGCACACCTATGTGGAACTGGTGCTGATTGCTGCAGCATCACATGTGCTTGGGTCAGAGCTGCTATGCACATGTTTATGCATACTAACATTTCAACCTGCTGGGGAACTTTGGGGGAGTTTCTGTGACAACTATACTGCAAGATTAAAACAGCAGCCAGGCTTTCCTTAGTCCCTGTAGGAATTTCTCTCATGTCAGGGTTTCACAGCATCACAGAATAAACAGGGCTGGAAGGGACCACAGTGGGTCATCTGGTCCAGACTCCCTGTTTAAGCAGGGCCATCCCAGAGCACACTGCATGGAATTGTGTCCAGACAGTTATAGAGTGTATCCAGTGATACTCCACAGCCTCTCTGGGCAATCCGCTCCAGCACATGGTCACTCACACAGTGAAGTTCTTCCTCATATTAAGGTGGAGCTTCTTATTAACTCTTGTCTTACTGCACAAAAGCACTGAGAAGAGCCTGGCTGCACTTCAAAGTACTTCAGAGTGTTAACTGGTAAATCACCCTCCAAACTCCTCTGGAATTTGTCTGTAACAAAAGTACTTACTGCATGTGTACCCGTTACCAGCAATATGTACCGTAACAGGGAATGATCCTGCATTTACTAGTCCCTAAGGTTTTGTTTTTTTCCTTCATATTAGGAAAGCTCAGCAACTTCACCCAAGGAGGTATCTCAGCAAGCCACCAACAAGAGCACTTCAGTTGGATATGTGCATTTATTTTGTACTGTCATCGGAAAACTTCAGTTGGTTATCTGATTTGTTCAGCCTGTGCTGCATGGACTTTGGAAACAGCAGCTTTTTGATTACTATGTCAAAAGCCACTGAGAAGTCTGTTATTAAAGTAGCCAAAAGTTTCAATTAAAAATCCTGTTTAGTTTCTAGAAACCTGACTACTATCTTAAAAACAGTGAAAAATTCCAAAGTCACCAAAACAACCCACACTTCAAAGTGTACCACCAATATTTAGCAACTACACCTCATAGCATCTTCCAGGAGTAATTGACTAGAGGGATGTACACTTTGTGATCACATGACCTGTTGATGCCTTAAAATCACGGACACATTTCAGAGATTCTCCAAATACCAAGAGTTCCCAGTTTTCTAAAATTATGTGAAAACAAAAAATCAGGGCTAATAGATGAAAAAAAGTTCCCTGCCCAATTTGCATAAAAACAAAACAAACATATACTATTAGCACAGGTTCTCAAAGTTGTTTAAATTATTTCACTTGAACATTTTTTTATCTTCCTTAGTTATTGCTGAAATATACAGGATTTAGTTCTGTCTACAATTTGTGAACATATGAGACAGCTTCTGCAGATAAAAATAACTGTGCTTATAAAACATTCATGTCTTTTTCTCCCCCACCACTAATCTTTATTTACTGCTATGCCTTTCTGTTTCATGTAAGTAAATCAAACCATACATTAAAAAACCAACACTGATAACAAAAAAAAAGAGCTGATCTTTGCCCCCAGTCTCTCCCTCCTTCAATCTTAAAATCACAGTGAGTGTCCTATTATCTTTCAACAATAATCCTGACACTGAATTATTGAATTATGTTCACAGCATAACTTCTAGGGTGATTTTCTTAATGAACTTACCATCTGGAGCATATTTTGAAGCTATTCCCAAAAAAATCCCCAGTGCAACAAAAAGTGAAAGGCTAGAAATGGCAGAACAAATAAGAGTATTTTTATGTCTGTTGGCTTCTGCCTGTCGGCGGTGCTGCTCCACTGGTAAGGATGGGAGTCTTGTCTGGGCTTCCTGTCTTCCCGAGGTAAATTCTGCTGCAGCATGGCTCTGCGAAGGCGGCGGGGGACGGAGAGGCGCAATTCTCCCCGGGACATACCCCGAAGACCTGTGACTGCTCCCGTTCTGAGGACGGAGAAATGCAGGGGAGCTCCCCCTGGAATCAGTGCCTTGCATGTTATAAAGTCACTGGAACACACACACACACACAGAGACAGATAAAAAATAAGAGACAGACTTTCAGAATACAGATCAAAATGCACAAAACAAAACAAAAAAAAACCAACAAAAGGCAATTTTAAGCCACATCGGTCAAGAACAGCCACTGAAGCTGTGACTACAAAGTATATATCTGTTACTCAGTTGCTACTGGTCACTTGCCATGGTATTAAGTGCATGAAACAATGTATGTATCTTCAACACAATTAAACTCAAAAGCGTGTGGTGTGGCAGCCCAGTACAACACAGACCATTTCTTCATAGTTCCAGTGGTTATTTTTCACTGAGGATTTTTACAGTTAACTTGTATTATGAGATTAAGAAATCAGATGAACAATGAGAAAGCTAGCAATCCCTGCTTCCCCACAGTTATGCAAAGAATGTCTAAATGTATTTTTTCTGTACACAGAAGCTGAACAAACTCCTCACTTTCCCTTATGGAAAAGAAGCTGAAAAAGACAAGCCTGACTTCTACACTGGAAGCCCTAAAAGCTGTTTAAATTAAAATACCAAATACTTTTTTATTTCTAGTCACGCTGATGCAACTTACTCAACACTTTTAATAAGTTGAGGTGCACAGAGCCAGAAAATTCTTGATTTACTCACAGCAAGATTCAATTGCTAGTAAAAGTACATCAGGAATGGTTCTATAAGAAAGTCACCTACATCTTATTCAGCAAACCTCGTGATTTTTTTCTGCTGAGATGCCTGGGTTTGGACACAAAGCCTGGAAGCAACATGCCTGCTCCAGATCTCTGTACCTATTGCCCAGAAGTGAGTGCTTTTATTTCAGTTACTACTATTGTTTCCATCCTTCTTCTGAAACACACCAAGAGGAAAGCATACCAGTGCCATCACTGCCTGGCCCATCCTCTGCAGCAGATGTAACTCACCACACTTGACTAGTTTAAGAGACAAACCTACATCTGACTGTTTTCTCTGGTTTTCCAGTCAACAGTGTTGCACAGAGTATTCACAAAGCTGGCATAATTTTTTTTAACCTGATTACGATTAACACCTCTTACAGATGAAATTTTTTGAGAAGGATGCTCAAGTCTCAGTTAACTGAAACCTAACTTTTGAAACTAAATCCTGAAGGGGATTTAGGCATAAGACATGTGCATTAAACAGCAAAGTGTAGAAAAAATAAAAACTACTGATCATGGAAGAGTATAAAGATCCTCTTTCTGTTCCATTAACAAAGGGAAGTCTGAGCCATACTCTGAAGTGTCAGGCACGCTGATGAAGGAGAAATGTGACAACTGTAATCTTATTCTGAGAAGTAGCAAAGGAGCCTTTTGTCCCACAATCTGCAAAATCTGATAGTTTACTGTTTCCAGGAAAAAGAGCTGTTACTATAGAACAGGCTGGATTACCCTTTCATGGGAGACAATGCACCTCCAGATATATGCACAAAGACAATGAAGGCACTGAAACATGAACTGGAGTGCCTATCCCAGAGTGCAAAAATTATTCCAAGTCCTCCAAAAGTGCTTCTTGCACATGTTCATTATAACAAATTAATTTTCAGCATTCTCCTTTCTGTTCTTTGACAAACCCAATCCTCTGCTCTCAAACTTAACTATCCAACCAGTTACGTGCACTCTGGAACAGTTGGCTTCAACTTCATGTGCTTTTACTCAGCTTATCACCTCTCAGAAATAAAAGTAATTTCTGTGTTTTAGATGTGGTATTAAAAGCTGGGAAGAGATGGAGCTTTTCAACTAGTTCAAAGACAGTATTTATGTCTAGCTAAACAAATGCTGGACAAGCTTCTTAATTAAACATTTTAAGTAATCTGATCCAGCATTGAGATTTTCTTTTTTTATAGTTTGAAACCCCAACTCCTTAAACTTGGCTAATATTTCAGTTAGGACTGAAAATTCTTCTGTGACACCGACAAAATTACTTCAGTGTTCGATACAGTGTAATATCAACTGTTAAAAAGCTTTTAAACTACTCAGCTACAGCAACTGAATCCAGATTGGCCATGCAAGACTTGAAATAGTTTTACAAAATAATTTCCCCACAATTCTTCCCATCAAGGCCTCCTAAAGTACTGCCAGACCTCTAAAGAAAAAAAAACAAACAAAGAACATTAATTACAGCAGTTATTGGAAACACTTTGTGTCATATTTCAAACATATTTTGTGTTGTACAAAGCATTCTGCTTTGTTTGCAAAACCCTCATTTTGGCAACTGTAAAACCTTTTCAACTGTCCCACTCAAGTGAAAACATAGGCTACCCCAAGGCTGGGTGGGAAAGAGATGGTAGAATTGCTGTCTTAACCATTACAAAATAAAAATAATTACACTAAGCCAATAAGGAGATACTCAGTACATTCTAAAGACTTACCACACAGTTTTCCATTACAACAGGTGTAACCATTGCAATACTTCCTTCCCTCTTCATGCGTTATTTGAAATTCTCTAGCTGAAAAAGGATGTCTTCTATCCTGTAGAGCAGCTACTAGCTTTTTTGAAAGATAGACTGATAATCTGATTCAAATTATTGGCTTGTTTATTTCCATTCTGTGGAAGCCCTCAAAGAGCACCACATAAAAGTATGTATAGTACTTGTCTATATGGCCAGTTATGCACTAGAGAATGCAATTATTTGGCTGCACAAATACAGTTTGTGTGCCACAAATACAGCACAAATTTTACTCTGCAACTGCATTTACAGAGTGAAATGCAGGACAAAATACCCAAACTGCTGAACTATTTAAATACCACATTGAAAATTCCCATGTACCTGAATTTTCCCACATTTCCTTTGATCTGTGCCATGGTCCTCTAAAGGAACTCATGCTCTGAGCATCTCTTCCTGATGGTCAGTCCCAGACATGAACATCTACCACTTCTGTATTGTGGTACACACAATGGTGCAGTATTTTACTTTGCACCTTGCTTCAGTGTGCTTCCAATAACAGCCAAGTTCTCACACCATATACAACCAATTACCTAACACTTGTACAGAGCTCTATCTGTACAAATGTGTTACTTGTCAAGTCAATTACAAATGCTGCTTTCTCACTACTCCCAAACCTCTTGCACATCAGCTTTCAACACAGTATTATGCAAGATTTTAAATCCACTATTCAACACAGCTTTTAGTCAGAGCCACACTTAAACATGTGCTTCAAGCCCATCAGTAAGAGGGAAGCTTCCAATGCACAGACTCAGCTGGAGAATCTCAGATGCTTCAGCCTACGGTGTATCTGGAGTATCTCAGATATTTCACTGCCACCCATCTGCCGGACGACTGCACTATTTACATATCGTGCTTTTGCAAGAGTGATGCAACTCCACACAATCCAGGCTTCTGCTCATGCACCCCTTCCTACAGCATGAACAAGCAAACAAGTACTTCTCATACTGCTCACATCAGCCAAGCTAGATTAAACCACCTTAAATTAAAAAAAAAAAAAATTAAAGGTTTATTTTTTACAGCTTCCAAGTGAAAACCGTGAATACTTGCAAGCCTGGATATGTCTACAGAGCAAGTGAGCAAACAAATGTGGACAGCAAACCCCAGCATGCAGACAGCAGTGAGCCGATGAACAGGCTGCAACATCTCCCGTCTTGTCAAGTATTCCTTCACCACTTTTAACTTGTGCCACTACCACACTCTCATGTAAGCCCACATTGTTCCACACAGTCAGAAACTGGAAACATATGCGCTGTACAACCAGGGCATAACACATGAACCTCCTGAGACATGACAGTGTGCTAAGAAGCAAGTAGCATGCTTATCCATTACTCATTTTGGGGCTGGTTTCCTGGAAAGAAATTGGCTTATTTTACCAGATAATTCAAAATGTCATATGACACCACTCAAAAAGTGAGAAAAAACCCAAGATATTTTACACTTCTGTGTTGTCAAATGCTAAGTGCAATAAAACATGTCAACCATGCTAATAAACTCCCACACCTGCACCATCTGAAAGTGCGGTATAGAACATTTGCTTACTTCATAATTCATGCATCCCTTTAAGCACATTTTAAGGATCACAGGTTTAAAAAATAAACTAAAAGAAACCAGGAAAAATGACACACTCCTGTTGATCTGGGCCATCAAACTACACCAGCTCTAGTGCTGACCTATTACCACACTGTCTAGTCTTAAGAGTACATATAATTACCGCTAAGGAAAAGACAAGCAAAGGGTGGAAGAAAACAACACATACACAAAAGATATTTCCCCATGCAACACAGTAGTAAATTTGCAGACAACATTAAGCTGAGAGCATATGTCAATCTGTTGGAAGGTAGGATGCCGCTGCAGAGAGACCTGGAATGGTTGGATGGGTGGGCAGAGTCCAATAAGATGAAGTTTAGTAAGTCCAAGTGATGACTCCTACATTTTGGCCACAACAATCCCTGCAATGCTACAGGCTGGGGACGGTGTGGCTGGACAGAGCCCAGGTGGAAAGGGAGCTGGGGGTGCTGGTCAACAGCCGGCTGAACATGAGCCAGCAAGTGCCCTGATGGACAAGGGCATCCTGGCCTGTATCAGGAGTAGTGTGGCCAGCATGAGCAGGGAGGTCATCCTTCCCCTGTACTTGGCACTGCAGAGGCTGCACCTTGAGTGCTGTGTCCAGCTCTGGGCCCCTCAGTTTGGGAAGGACATCGAGACACTTGAGCACATCCAGGGGAGGTCAATGAGGCTGGTGAGGGGTTTGGAACACAATCCCTGTGAAGAATGACTGAGGGAGCTAGGGGTGTTCAGCTGGAGAAAAGGAGACTCACCCTCTATTTAAAGGACATCTCTGCCTATTGCAAAGGAGACTCACTCTTACCACACCTTCCTGAAAAGTGGTTGTAGTCAGGTGGGGGTCAATCTCTTTCTCCAGGCAGCAATGGACAGAACAAGAGGACACAGTCTCAAGCTGCACCAAATGAAATACAGGTTGGCTATTAGGAAAAAGTTTTTTATGGAAAGACTGATAAAATACTGGAATGGTCTGCCCAGGGAGGTAGTGGAGTCACCATCCCTGGATGTGTTTAAAAAAACACTGGATGTGGCAACTGGCACCACAGTTCAGTATAGGTGTTAGGGCATAGGCTGGACTCGATCTTGAAGGTCACTTCCAACCTAGTGATTCTGTACAACAAAAGTTATTACTGCTTTCCTGGTAGAGCCATTTGTCTGGTATAAAACCAAAGGGCAGTGAGAAACCCATGAAAAGGGAAAGGGACAAGAACTCGGTATTAAAAAGCTCCTAAGCAGAAACAATTACTAAACAAAATGTGATGTCAGGCAAGCTCCTAAAGCACGACTTGCACACCTCTGTTGACCTTCAAGGTGGTCAACTACACCAGAAATACAAATTTCAATGTTTCAAACATCTTAGAAGTCCCCAGTTCAACAAATCTCAACCTCACTAGCACAAACAGTTCCAGAGAGGGTGCCCATATGCTTTCTTTTCTGGTTTCATATTTTCTCCTCCCGCCTCATTTTGAAATTACATCTATTCACTAAGACAACAGACAGCATATTGGAAGGAACCTACTTTTCCACCCATTTACAAAAACTGGAAAGAATACATGCACAGTAAAATGTATTGCTACAGTTAAGTAACTGTTGGAAACCACAATATTTAGAAGAGCCTGAAAAATCTCAACTGAGTTACAAAAAAAAAACCCTTTAGAAACTCTACTGACATCTAGACACATGTGCTGTTTTCTGCATGCCTCCACCAAGTTTTCTCCAATGCTCTGCATTTTCAGAAGAAAAATCAGCAAGAAACAAAGAGATAAGAATGGTAAAAGTTACAAAACTTGGAAGATAAGCTCTACTGCACTAGATTTTCTGCATTTCCTGTGTAGCAATTAATAATCTTTAGTGAATTTCTCGGCATGTAGAAAACATGTAAAATTGCAAGGTCCATATTTCTTAAACCAAATCTTTCAAAATACAGAATCACAGAACCATTTCAGTACCACACATCAAGAAACAGAAGTGAAAGCATGCATTATATTTACAGTAGAGAAGGCTTATAGATAGAAAAAACCTTCATCAGCTGAAATTAAATCTTTAAGAACACAAGCCTCTCTCCAGAATAAATTTCCAAGTTATATACAGGTAGGGGAAGTTGGACTACATATGTTTAGATGATATGCAAAAAAATTAAGCTATTATCTATGGATTAGAAAGGATGATGAGATGAGGGGGAGATGATGGAGAAAAGATTGCACTCCAAGGGAAAGAGGTAAATAGATACTCTGGAATAGAACTTGGCTGTGGGAGTAAGTACAAAATTATGATCAGTAAAACCACTCTCATGTCCACCACTGACAGCATACAGGAGAACCACGAATTTCATTTCTATCCTCTTGTGCAGGTGTTTGGCAGATCACCATTAAGGACGAGACAAAGACCAGAGAGTATTTGTACAGTAAAAATGCTTCCCTGCTCAAATGACAGGTGGGCTTTTGTCCTTCAGATACAGTTTGTGTGAACAAGTTGCAGCACTCACCTGGTTTCACTTACAGAGCATTTAATGCAGCAGATGAAGTATCTGATGTTGCAGAAAGTTTAAATACAAAACTTGGGGATTTTTGTAGTGTTGAAGATATGCATCTTACTGCAGAAACTGCAGGGACATGTTTTTTTCCCAGTTCCTAGACACCAAACTTCCAGGTAAGCTTTCAAGAATTCTAAATTGAATAGCAGATACTTCAATTTTCAGTCAGCTCAAGCAGAACTGTTGTACCTTCAGATTTTGCCCATTGAAACAAAGAAACATAAGCCAGCAGCCATAACAAACTGTAGTCAGTGTATCTAAAATGGTATCTGACATTTCCAGTGAATTATACTTTCCTGCCCTTTGTTTCTTTTTGACACAGTTTATCATTGTAAATTATGAACTGGTGGAAGTTTACTCTGTTTTCCATTCACTGTTTAAAAAACAGCATATTCTGCTGGAGGAAACCATGCAGAAACAGTGAATTATCTACAACTTAAATACAGCACATCCAAGGGCACACTAGGAAATATGGCATGTGCTGAAATAGGCAAAATGAATGGAATAATTTTTATTGCTACACTTTCAAAAACAAAACGTTTAATAATTTGTGTAAAAGATCAAGAGTGGAAACTTGCATTTTAGTCACCCATCTGTCATTAGCTTGCTGCATGAGTCACAGATTATTTGGGCCCCAAGCCTGTAACACGAGAAAAAAAAGTGGTCACTAACCTGACAGGGACATTGTGAGGGTTAGTTTAGAGAACGCTTTGGCCTCAGCTCAGTAATGCATCAGAGTACAAGCATACTTTTAAGTAAATAAATAGCTACACTTAAGTCAACAACATTCACATGAAAATGATGGATTTGCCACATTCACCTTAGGGAACCTGAATAAGGTGGTAGGGAAAAATCCAAATAAAAATCAGGGAAAAGCATTTAAACTACTTCTCATACAGACAATAAGAAGTTGTATACAGATATCTGCAGTCTCTAGAAAAACACAAATCCCAACCTAACAGCTATAGCCTAGGACTTCAAAGCAGAAAATTTTTATGTAATGGTAAAACACTTCAGAGAGATAAAGTTGAGTTCTGGTACTAGTTTGAATCACTGGGCCTACAATCCTACTCCTAAGAGAAGGACAGTAAGATTGGATATTTATTATTAAAATTAGAAAAGCTGTTATAAATAGATTATAAGCATACCTGAAAGCGCAGACTATAACATGCAGTGGGGAGAAGAATTAGATCCAATATTTAGCTTCAGTAAACTGACATATGCAAAACACTCTTGAGTGTACTCATATAAGCACTTAATCAAAGGGTTGTCATGTTTAAGTTATACTTAAAACAAGAATCAGCATAGTAACACACTCTCTTCCACATCAGCATGCAGATTTCTTCCTTTGGCAAAGCTGTAAAGTTCTTAGAATTTTTTCTTCAGTGCTAGTCAAGCTTCAGTAAATGATATGTCACCCCTCATTCTGCCTATTTGAAGGACTGCCTCAGCAAATTTTAACTGTGCATCAACTACAAAAAAAATACTGCCTAAAAAACTGAATTGTTGCAGCTGCACACCCACATTCTTTTGCCTTGCCTTTTTAAGAACCAAGTCTTCATTAAAAAATAATCAAGAGCTGCAAATCACATCCAGTGAGAACTCTGAATCTGCAAAGGACTGGTGATGGATGACTGAGAGGCTGTATGTCACAGGTCCATAGAATCAGAAGTAGCTGGTAGAATGCAACGATTCAAGCCTCTTCCAAGGAGGAAAAAAAATTGACACAGAAGTCTCTGAACCCATTTCAGTACTATATGCTTTGGACATCAAGAATTTACACAACTTCAGGGAGCAACAAGGCGCTGAAGAGAATTCAGTTGAGGTTTATTGGATAAATAACACTGCCTCGACTTTAGGAAGTCCTTGAAACACATGCTGGAAGCAGTAGCAACATGTAGCTTCACCAGCTGACTACTTCTCACCACTGTCAGACCCTGGGTAATTGCCTGGATGGACACTTGGCCTGATGTGATGTGGCCACTCTTCTACCACGCTTTAAGACCTCATTTACCTGTCTTTCACCTTCACTTTTCCAAAATCACCTCTCCTCCTCTAAGGACCAAATCCCCCTCAGCTCAGTCACTGCAATTGCCTGCTGAGATCAGCAACACAAAATACACCTTTACCTGATTGCTTACATTAACATGCCACACTGATACGCAGTGGCTGAAATACAGTACAGTTTTCATTTTGCTGTAGGAATTGCGGCAATGTAGCAGAAGGGCACAGCAATACCAGCTAACACAAGAGGGCACAAGGTCTTGTGAAAAGAGTTTCTACTGATGAACTAAGAAGAGTAACTTGGCTGTATATCTAAATGCCAAGATAACCCATGGCTCTAAAGTATCTCAGAAATCACAGAACTACATGAGTTGAGAACCCGGTGAAAAAGGAACAGTGACTTAGCTTATACAACATGATACCTTTGTAGAATTTTGTAAAAGAAAAAAAAAACATTCTATAATTTTCCTTTGAAAAAAAAACAGAAACAGCATATTTAGGATATCTCAAAACAGCAAAATCTCAATCTTCAAACTGCAAAACAAAGCCCTGTAATCCACCATTAGGTATGCATTAGCCACTTGCTGAGCTGGTGGCTGCACTCATATTTTGGCTTCCCTACAGTGAATTCCGTTCTAGGAAAGTCCAAGAACTCTGCACCCCACTGCCAAGTACTGCAACATCCTGCCAGGTATAGCTAGTCATCTTGCATGATTGCACTACTCCTTTTTATATGTTCTTCTTAATCCCATGTGCCAAAAATATAAAAGAGCTACTAGCACATCCCTTCTTTTAACCTACTTCACAACAAAGCAATAAAATAAGTTTCAAGTTCTAAAGTATGAACTTGATTCTTTAATGTCTTCAGTATTTTCTTTCCATACTGGCAAATATATAACTTTTCTCCCTCACATCTTTGCTCAACTTTTCTACTCCTTTTCCACTTTTTCAGCATTACTATTCCATGAAAATATTTCTGTGGATTTCTACATCCACATCTACAAATAATTCATTCCCATTTGCCAAAAATACCTCAATTAAATCAATAGTGAAATTCCTTTTGGTAAAAATAAGCTGAGAATCTATCAAGTCTAATCACAATTGGACTCCAAAGAAGAAAACTGCAAATTACAACACAGACTTTAATCATGTTTTGATGCATACTGAGGTGATTCTATGGAACAGCCTTACTAATGCAAAGCATGAACCTTACTGATATACTTCAGATTATATTCTTATGATTTAATTTTTTAATATACAGAAGGCAATATTTACTATATGACAATTTTCTCACTGATTTCTGTCTGAAGTTTTTAAATCACTGGTGCATGCACACAGAAGGTAAAGAACAAGCACTGTGGGACTCATGCCTTGAAGTCACACACGATGTGGCCCATCACCCAAGGAGTTCCTTCAGCTGCAGGGCAGAGGTAGCAGAGGTGTGCCCTTACAGCTGTGGAGGCTGCAGCACCAGCCTCCAGCAGACAATGGGTTCCCTCTCCTCCCTCGTTCCCCCCAGCTCCAGTACAAGGCAGAATCAAGAGCCTTCCCACACGTACAGAAGCAAACAGCTCTGTCCTATTCAACAGGTAAGATAAACAAAACTGAGTCACTCTCATTTTCTGCAATCAAGACTTCCACAGCTAGAAGCTGGACTTATCTCAAAACATACAAAAACAGTATGCGAAAATTGTTTAATAAATCTTCTGAAACACACTGGACATACAATAAAGAAAGTTAATGACTGTCCTTTGTATTTAAAGCACATTTAAAGTTATCCATCATTAAATAACACTTCTAATCCCAACTGCCCAAGGCATGCAGACATTTCTTCACAGCTTTGGTGGTAAGAATATTGTTTTGAAGTATTTAAGTAAGACTGAAAAGCAGCTATCCCACTGTCCCTTGTCAGTACTTAAAGAAACAAACTTCCTAACTTCCACCGAAGTACAAGCTACTCAAATACACATCAATTCAAATTAAAAAAAAAAAAGAAAGAAAGAAAGAAAAGCTGCAAAATAACCAAAGTAGTCCAACAGCTTGTGCTCCACCTAATTTTATACTCATGCCTTAAAGTAAAAAGAACGGTTTTTTGGTCCCCTGGTTTATAAACTTGGAAGAAAAGTGAACTCTACCTCCAGTCACAAGTCACAGGACCTGTAACAGCTAGGAAACGTTCAGAGGATTTCATAGGCCCTTCTGAAAGCAGTGGTCTTCACACACAGGGGCCACCATCTTCCACTAGTCAGTGTCTCTAACAACTAGCAACAAGTCAGGCAAACTGGCTAAAAGCTTCCAGACAACTTAACACCACTTTCCCCATAAAATACTGTGTGGACAATGTGTTAATATTTGTAATTAAAAAAACCTGCAGTGTGCCACTGGAAAACACATATCCCCATCTCAAAACAGGACACACCACAACTCCTGCTGAGACCATACGCTGAACTCCAGAAGATAACTCTCATTTTAGCATGGACCTCACAAGACCCCTTGTCTTTGTCCTTCTCTCCTCCACACTCCCTTTCCTCCTCAATCCCTTTGGATGTGGGGGCATTTCTCATGCTTTACACATAACTTATTTCAGAGGCCTTCTTGCCTAGCTCAAGCCCCCAGCATAGTCTGCTGGATGCCATAGCAGTAGAGAGAGTGCACGAGGAGCAGGCCCAACAAACTTGATCTGGCAGACGACTTCACATTTGTGCAGGCAGTGTGCAAGACCCATGCAGACAAAGCACCTCAAAGAGCTGGTGACTCCTAAGAACAAAGATGAACCTCCCTTCTCTTTACTGCTATCCATGGGCCATTTCACATCCGTAGCTAAGCAGCTGGAAATCTTTTTCTGTGATCCATGAAAACAGACTAATGCCATAAAAAAAAAATACCAAGTACTACTTTATCCTCCTTATTACATTGTCTTTGTCGAGCCACAGCTGCTATTCTGCTTTTAGAACTACTCAGAAATATAAAATCTCTTCCTTTTCAAGGAAACCGTGTCATTAAATACGCACTAAAATACCAACAAGGGTATTATCTTCAGTACACAGCCCTCATCTAGCCGTGATACAGCACAAATGCAGTGCATTAATCGCTGCACAGCCTCCTTTCTTAGAGGGGCTGCGATGATGTACGACTCTCACTGTTTCTTCCGTGCCTCTGGGCAAGTGAAGCAGCTGTTGGTTATCAGTCACAACGACGGCATTCCACGACAGCCCAAGCACTCGGCGATGCCTATGACAAATCCCAGTGCAGTCACGCCGCGATGCGGACCCGAGCCCGGTCGCTCTCCACCGCGATCCCGGCAGCATCCGACCGGGCGCGCCAACAAAGCCGCGGCCCCGGGAGCGCGGCCCCGCCGCGGCACCTGCCGCGGCCCCGCGGAGCGGCGCGGGCC